CGAGTCATGAGGCTTGAAAACGGGAGAGGAGGACACTGCTTAGATAACCTATTATCTAATAGATTGACGGTGACGCTCACTGCCTTTTTGTCCTCTGTCTGTGTGTTTTGTAGCTTATTGAATGGCCAAACGCAGAGTGAATTCCGGCTCGGCCAGGCGCAAACATTGATCAAAACGGAGCTAAACTTGATTTGACAGATGATACGTTTCACTCTGTACCATCTGCTGCCAACCATACACTGCAGAGAGGAGAGATGTGGCCGGAGGAGCCCTGAGCATCTACGTTGTTTATACAGTGCATTCGGAAGGCATTCAAACCCCTTCACTTTTTCCACATTTTGATACGTTACAGCCTTATTCTAAAATGGATTAAATAAATACAAATCCTCATAAATCTACACACATCACCCCAAAATGACAAAGCGTCAACAGTTTTTTAGGAATTCTTGCAAATTTATAAAAATTTAAGAAAAAACATTCTGTTATAAGTATTCAGACCCTTTGCCATTAGACTCGAAATTGAGCTCAGGTGCATCCTGTTTCCATTGATCATCCTTGAGATGTTTCTACAACTGGATTGGAGTCCACCTGTGGTCAATTCAATTGATTGGACATGATTTGGAAAGGCACACATCTGTCTATATAAGGTCCCACAGTTGAAAGTGCATGTCAGAGCAAAAACCAAGCCATGAGGTTGAAGGAATTGTCCTTAGAGCGCCGAGACAGGATTGTGTCGAGGCACATATCTGTGGAAGGGTACCAAAAAATGTCTACAGGATTGAAGGTTCCCAAGAACACAGTGGCCTCCATCATTCTTAAATGGAAGAAATTTGGAACCACCATGACTCTTCCTAGAGCTGGCCACCCGGCCAAACTGAGCAATCGGGGGAGAAGGGCCTTGGTCAGGGAGGTGAGCTCCAGAGTTCCTCTGTGGAGATGGGAGAACCTTCCAGAAGAACAACCATCTCTGCAGCACTCCACCAATCAGGCCTTTATGGTAGAGTGGCCAGATGGAAGCCACTCCTCAGTAAAAGGCACATGACAGCCTGCTTGGAGTTTGCCAAAAGGCACCTAAAGGTCTCAGACCAGGAGAAACAAGATTCTCTGGTCTGATAAAACCAAGATTGAACTCTTCGGCCTGAATACCAAGCGTCACGTCTTGAGGAAACCTGACACCATCTCTACGGTGAAGCATGGTGGTGGCAGCATCATCTTTGTCAGCGGCAGGGACTGGGAGACTAGTCAGGATCGAGGGAAAGATGAACGGAGCAAAGTACAGAGAGATCCTTGATGAAAACCTGCTCCAGAGCACTCAGGACCTCAGACTGGGGCGAAGGTTAATCTTCCAACATGACAAAGACCCTAAGCACACAGCCAAGACAACGCAGGAGTGGCTTCGGGACAAGTCTCTGAATGTCCTTGAGTGGCCCAGCCAGAGGCCGGACTTGAACCCGATCAAACATCTCTGGAGAGACCTGAAAATAGCTGTGCAGCGACGCTCCCCATCCAACCTGACAGAGCTTGAGAGAATCTGCAGAGAAGAATGGGAGAAACTCCCCCAAATACAGGTGTTCTAAGCTTGTAGCGTCATACCCAAGAAGACTCGAGGCTGTAATCGCTGCCAAAGGTGCTTCAACAAAGTACTGAGTAAAGGGTCTGAATGCTTATGTAAATGTGATATTACAGTAAAAATAAAATAAAAAAATGGTGTGTATTGTGTGTAGATTGATGAGGAAAAGCAACAATCTAATCCATTTTAGAATAAGGCTGTAACCACAATACTAACCTAATTAACAGAGTGAAAAGAAGGAAGCCTGTACAGAATATAAATATTCCAAAACATGCATCCTGTTTGCAACTTGGCACTAAAGTAATACTGCAAAAAATGTGGCAAAGCAATTAGCTTTTTGTCCTGAATACAAAGTGTTATATTTGGGGAAAATCCAATACAACACGTTACTGAGTACCACTCTCCATATTTTCAAGCATAGTGGTGGCTTGTAATCATTAAGGACTGGGGAGTTTTTCAGGATAAAAAATTAACTAAATGGGGCTAAGCACAGGCAAAATCCTAGAGGAAAACCTGGTTCAGTCTGCTTTCCATCAGACACTGGGAGATTAATTAACCTTTCAGCAGGACAATAACCTATAACACAAGGCCAAATCTACACTGAAGCCTCCTGTAGCTCAGTTGGTAGAGCATAGCACTTGCAATGTCAGGGTTGTGGGTTCAGTATGAAAAATGTATGCACTCACCAGGGACGGCCTGTTCAATAGGGCGATATGGGCGACGCACTGCCAAACGGGAAAAGGAAGGGATTTTTTTTCTAATCAATTATATCACGGCAACAGTAGTTATCAGTGTTCACGTCTGATCTGCCAGCCACTAAATGTCAAATCAGGCTAAAGTCGTGCTTCAAATGGCCCCGCCCGTTTTTGGGGCGATTTCAGTCAAGTTGAAAATCGCCCAGAAGTCTCTCATAGCCTGTCATGTAAAATCTATTTTTTTCAAATTTCAAAGCTTTCAATACATTCTCTATGGGTGTCTGTGGGCTTGCACTTACGCGCTTTCGTCATACGTGACGTAACCATGAACGTAACTAAGACAATAGCGGCTAGCAGCGTCTCTGTTGCGATCTGCAGTGTGGCGTTATTTTATGTTTTTAATTTGTAGACTTAGTTTACAAACATTCTGCCAACCATGGATTTCCAGTGGTTGGTTTTGGACTGATCTTGTTGATCGTGTACATACCCGCTACGAACGGACTAAATAATGAAAACGCTGCTGGCAGCGGAATCCCAATACAGCTGGGAGACTTGGCTGGATGACAGAGTCCCGGACAGAGAAGTGGAGCCGGCCGGCTTCACCCTGGTCAGAGCGGACCGCGATCCTGGTAAGAGAGCGACTCTGTACCCCGACATTGAACTGCTTTCTGTGTCATTGCGACCTTACTATCTGCCCCGTGAGTTCCCCCAATTGTTTGTTACCGTTGTGTACTGTTGATAATCACAAGTTTACTGGAGAACTGAGACCAAGTAGAGACTTTGGACAGGGTGGATATGGTATAATAAAGGCAGTTTATTCAGAGGTAAAGATATCTGGAATCGCGTGCACGGACTCGTTCGTCAAACTCTTAGGGAGAAGAGAGCCCCGAAAACATTGTGTGCAGACATTTTATACAATAAATGATGTAGGTTGAATCTAGTAGTTCTGATCTTCTGATTGGTCCTGATGAGTTGGGCGAGGTCCCCTCCACTGTTGCATTGGCTCTGAGTCGGGTTCTCTGTCTTCAAATGTTCAGCCTAAAGAGAGGGGATTTTTGTGTGTGTGTGTGTGTGTGTTTAACAGTGATGATGTGTGTGTGTGTGTGTGTTATCAGTGATGATGTGTGTGTGTGTGTGTGTGTGTCCTCAGAGCAAGAACTCGTGAGTTGGAAGAACTGAGAGACCTATGGCGTGGGTGTTGTCCTTGGCCACCTGCTGACAAGGCTGACAAGATAGGACTCTTTTGTCCATTGTTATAGGATAGGAACAGCATTGATTGAAAACAAACGCCCAACACAAAATGGGTCATGCACAAGATTTTAGTCAGACCAAGCTATAACATTATATATTTACTACGACAGTACATTCAACCAAAAGCTAATATAACAAAGGCATCAGAGATTATTTATAATCTGTCACAGAAACTGGAATCCATCTCCCCAGATCAGTCAATAAATGCTTCTGGTATTGACTTATATGCTGCCCCTGTCTTCATGTTGTTGCTGGACATATCTTTTTTAAAATGTGTGTAGGTCACCTAAATCATCAGAAAAATTGCCCCTCCTGAGAATTTTTTCAGGAGCCGCCACTGGCACTCACTAACTGTAAGTCGCTCTGGATAAAAGTGTCTGCTAAATGACTAAAATGTAAATGTAAAATGAGTTGCTTACCAAGAAGACAGTGAACGTGGCCGAGTTACAGTTTTGACTTAAATCTACTTGAACATCTATTGCAAGACCTGAAAATGGTTGTCTAGCGATGATAAACAACCAATTTGACAGAACTTGAAGAATTTTTAGAAGAATGATGGGCAAAAGTTGCACAATCCAGGTGTGGAAAGCTCTTAGAGACTCACCCAGAAAGACTCAGGGGTGTCATTACTTATGTAAATTAGATATTTATGTATTTGATTTTCAATAAATGTGCAGAAAATTCTAAAAACATGTTTTCACTTTGTCATTATTGGGTATTGTTTGTAGATTGGTGAGATATAAATATATCTATATATATAATCCATTTTGAATTCAAGCTTTAACACAACAAAATGTGGAATAAGTCAAGGGGTATGAATACTTTCTGAAGGCACTGTATCTATGTATGGAAGAGCCATGAACATATTTATATCTATGTTGTTTATATCTATGTATGGAAGAACCATGAGCCTCTCTTTCTATCTATGTTGTTTATATCTATGTATGGAAGAACCATGAGCCTCTCTTTCTATCTATGTTGTTTATATCTATGTATGGAAGAGCATGAGCATCTATTTTCTATCTATGCTTGTTTATATCTATGTATAGAGGAGCCATGAACATCGCTCTTTCTATCTATGTTGTTTATATCTATGTATAGAGGAGCCATGAACATCGCTCTTTCTATCTATGTTGTTTATATCTATGTATAGAGGAGCCATGAACATCGCTCTTTCTATCTTTGTTGTTTATATCTATGTATAGAGGAGCCATGAACATCGCTCTTTCTATCTATGTTGTTTATATCTATGTACTGTATGATTATATATTAGGAAATAAAACTGCCCATTTTCCTATAAGTGTTGCTGCAAAGACACAATGGAATTGTGCATAGCACATTATGCATTGCTTATAATAAGCAATGCATAATGTGCTGGAGTGCTGGAGTTAGGCACACTAACCTCCAACCCTCACTAACCTCCAACCCTCACTAACCTCCAACCCTCACTAACCTCCGGCCATACTTGTTCTTCTGCCTTGCAGAGACCACAACATTGCCTGAAGATGGCGAACTCCACGGCTTCCTATGACCAGCTGGTCTACCAGGTGGAAGCTCTCCGCCAGGAGAATTCCCATCTGCGGAGAGAGCTGGAGGACAACTCCAACCACCTGTCCAAGCTGGAGAACGAGACCACCGACATGAAGGTGAGAGAGGTTAGAGGGACGACCCCAGGGCTAAGAGAGAAATAAGAATAGGAGGATAAGATTAGAGTGTTGATTTGATGATTGGTTAGAAAGGTGGAATTTCAACCATTTCCATATTTCCTTGACCTCTTTGTTTGTTATGTTTGTTATTTCTCTGCATCTGGACTAAAGATTAAAAAATATATACAGTGAGGGAAAAAGGTTTTTGATCCCCTGCTGATTTTGTACGTTTGCCCACTGACAAAGAAATGATCAGTCTATAATTTTAATGGTAGGTTTATTTGAACAGTGAGAGACAGAATAACAACAAAAAAATCCAGAAAAACGCATGTCAAAAATGTTATAAATTGATTTGCATTTTAATGAGGGAAATAAGTATTTGACCCCCTCTCAATCAGAAAGATTTCTGGCTCCCAGGTGTCTTTTATACAGGTAATGAGCTGAGATTAGGAACACACTCTTAAAGGGAGTGCTCCTAATCTCAGCTTGTTACCTGTATAAAAGACACCTGTCCACAGAAGCAATCAATCAATCAGATTCCAAACTCTCCACCATGGCCAAGACCAAAGAGCTCTCCAAGGATGTCAGGGACAAGATTGTAGACCTACACAAGGCTGGAATGGGCTACAAGACCATCGCCAAGCAGCTTGGTGAGAAGGTGACAACAGTTGGTGCGATCATTCGCAAATGGAAGAAACACAAAAGAACTGTCAATCTCCCTCGGCCTGGGGCTCCATGCAAGATCTCACCTCGTGGAGTTGCAATGATCATGAGAACGGTGAGGAATCAGCCCAGAACTACACGGGAGGATCTTGTCAATGATCTCAAGGCAGCTGGGACCATAGTCACCAAGAAAACAAATTGGTAACACACTACGCCGTGAAGGACTGAAATCCTGCAACGCCCGCAAGGTCCCCCTGCTCAAGAAAGCACATATACAGGGCTGTCTGAAGTTTGCCAATGAACATCTGAATGACTCAGAGGAGAACTGGGTGAAAGTGTTGTGGTCAGATGAGACCAAAATCGAGCTCTTTGGCATCAACTCAACTCGCCGTGTTTGGAGGAGGAAGAATGCTGCCTATGACCCCAAGAACACCATCCCCACCGTCAAACATGGAGGTGGAAACATTATGCTTTGGGGTGTTTTTCTGCTAAGGGAACAGGACAACTTCACTGCATCAAAGGGACGATGGACGGGGCCTTGTACCGTCAAATCTTGGGTGAGAACCTCCTTCCCTCAGCCAGGGCATTGAAAATGGGTCGTGGATGGGTATTCCAGCATGACAATGACCCAAAACACACAGCCAAGGCAACAAAGGAGTGGCTCAAGAAGAAGCACATTAAGGTCCTGGAGTGGCCTAGCCAGTCTCCAGACCTTAATCCCATAGAAAATCTGTGGAGGGAGCTGAAGGTTCGAGTTGCCAAACGTCAGCCTAGAAACCTTAATGACTTGGAGAAGATCTGCAAAAAGGAGTGGTACAAAATCCCTCCTGAGATGTGTGCAAATCTGGTGGCCAACTACAAGAAACGTCTGACATCTGTGATTGCCAACAAGGGTTTTGCCACCAAGTACTAAGTCATGTTTTGCAGAGGGGTCAAATACTTATTTCCCTCATTAAAATGCAAATCCATTTATAACATTTTTGACATGCGTTTTTCTGGATTTTTTTGTTGTTATTCTGTCTCTCACTGTTCAAATAAACCTACCATTAAAATGATAGACTGATCATGTCTTTGTCAGTGGGCAAACGTACAAAATCAGCAGGGGATCAAATACTTTTTTCCCTCACTGTATATGAGGCACTCTCATCGACGGGGCTGTAGTGGAACAGGTTGAGAGCTTCAAGTTCCTTGGTGTCCACATCACCAACGTGATGGTCCAAACACACCAAGACAGTCGTGAAGAGGGCACAACAAAGCCTATTCCCCCTCAGGAGAATGAAAAGATTTGGCATGGGTCCTCAGATCCTAAAAAAATTATACAGCTGCACCATCGAGAGCATCCTGACTGGTTGCATCACCGCCTGGTATGGCAACTGCTTGGCCTCCGACCGCAAGGCACTACAGAGGGTAGTGCGTACGGCCCAGTACATCACTGGGGCCAAGCTTCCTGCCATCCAGGACCTCTATATCAGGCGGTGTCAGAGGAAGGCCCTCAAAATTGTCAAAGACTCCAGCCACCCTAGTCATAGACTGTTCTCTCTGCTACCGCACGGCAAGCGGTACCGGAGTGCCAAGTCTAGGTCCAAAAGACTTCTCAACAGCTTCTACCCCCAAGCCATAAGACTCCTGAACAGCTAATCATGGCTACCCGGACTATTTCCACTGCCCCCCCACCCCATCCTTTTACGCTGCGGCTACTCTGTTAATTATTTATGCATAGTCACTTTAACTCTACCCACATGTACATATTACTTCAACTACCTCAACTAGCCGGTGCCCCCGCACATTGACTCTGCACCGGTACCCCCCTGTATATATAGCCTCCCTACTGTTATTATATTTTACTTCTGCTCTTTTTTTTCTCAACACTTTTTTTGTTGTTGTTTTATTTTTACTTTTTTTGTTAAAAATAAATGTACTGTTGGTTAAGGGCTGTAAGTAAGCATTTCACTGTAATGTCTGCACCTGTTGTATTCGGCGCATGTGGCCAATACAATTTGATTTGATTTGATTTGATTTGATTTGATATATGAAAGACACAGATGACAATGTGTTGCTTTGATGATAGCTCATAAAGATGGCAGCAATTGTCCTTTGTTTTTTAAAAGGACAATGTTTTCATTTTGGATTTTCTCTATGCCTACATCTGGGACTTTTCCCTCCATTTTGTCAAGCCGTGGCTAATAATATGATTTAAATACAGATAGGACATTTTCCCATTCAAAATCCACTCAGTTCTGCCTCAGATGTATAGAGTTCAGCCCCAATTCTGAAGGATGCTGTAGACTTCATGTAACTCCTTCGCAAGTGACCCGGTTTCTCTCCTGAGTGACTGAGTGACTGGGATCCATCCAGTTGTCCTCGTTACAGTAATGATGCCAGCAGGGATTGAGACAAGCTGCCGAGGAAGAAGGAAACCATTAGACCATATAGCCCGCTAAGACATTTTCTCATTATCGATTATTTTGAAATCCCGGCTTGTCTGACAGGATCTTTCTTCTTTGATATAGTCATTTTTTCTCTGTGGCTAAGCCTCTGCCTGGATTCCAGGAAATAATCTGCTTCAAATTTCTGTACACTCCTCCCTGTCACACCATGTGCAATTAGGCTTTACTGTTAGGTATCTGTCTGTTTATCAACGAAACACTTGGTTTTTATAGACATGCATCATAATAGGATATCTGTGTCAGGGTCTGTGGTGATATTGTAGCCTAGGTCACAGTTTTGTGCCAGGCTAGCATTAAACTTTGCCAGAATCACAGCCTGTGGGGAGTTTGGATTACTGGCAGAATTAAGGACCATTCCAAGAGGGGTGGAATCAGGGTTTCCAATGTGCTTTAGAGTGGCTTTAGCCTAAATGCTGTGTACTGTGGACTACCACTGAACTACTGGGTACCTGATTCTGAGAGGCATGAGCAGAAAGGGCAAAACACATATCATAATCTGGTTATTAAAAACGTCCAACTCGTCCTTCGTTCATAACTAATTATTTCAATCCGAATTGACGAAATGAACAACAAAACATACCAAAACGAAACAATTTCTCTATTCCAGCCAGCAACATCAATCATATAATAGTCTGGATAGGTCGCCATCTTTAAGATGTAATTGTAGGTGCTAACCCCAGTGCATGCTGGTCCGCCCTATCACTCCTCTGGCACACAGCTGGATTATCCCCAGCTAAAGCCTTTATATTCCTGAGGGCAGCTTGAGCTATCAGCAGACAACCAGGACGCTCTGTAAGGAGCTCACAAAGCCAGACACTGGTGGCAAATAGACCTAACCTTCCAAACCCAAAACAACCCCTTGGAGAACATTGATTTGAGGCTAGGATTTTACATTGATTTGGCTGTGATTTCCCTCTAGGAGGTCATCGTAATCCCAACAGGTTGTGACTCATTTTTGGTTTCACTGTGGCCACAACAACAATTTCATTTGACTGGGTTTCTGGTTGGACACAGATAGTGAATTGCTTTCTCCTCTCTAGGGGGTTCTGAAGGGGCTGCAAAGCAAACTGGAGCTGGAGGCTGGCACTTTGGCCTCCTCTGGGAGGACTGATGTGCTGGACCAGCTCAAAGGTATGTGTGCTGTAACCCTGTGCTTTTCTGTCTATTTTCTCACCTTTTAATGTTTGTTTAGACTGATATTGTACACAACTCATTAATTAATTCAATATCAGCTATTTCAATGGTTCATTTTTAGAAAATAAAATCATATTTACTTTTTCCAATATTAATGACATTTCTCTCTCAGAGTTGCACATGGACTTGACCAACTACTATGAGCTGAAGTACCAGCCGCAAAACCTGCGCGTCCTCCCAGAGAGTCTAGCCAGTCTGGCAGCTCAGTCGGGTGACATGGGCGATCGTCTGGCCTGCTTGCCTCCATCCTCCTCCAGAGCCAGGAGCCCCCTGCGGCCTTCATCCCGCCAGAGCACCTCTCTGTCTGGGGAGGGCACGGCTGTGCACCCTGGAGCCCTGGCAAAAGCCATGCTGGGAGACGGACGCGTCACGGCCCAGCATCTGGAAGATCTATACAAAGAGAGGTTAGCGCTTTGCCATCGTTCAATCAGATGTACAGTTGAAGTCGGAAGTTTACATACACTTAGGTTGGAGTCATTAAAACTCGTTTTTCAACCACTCCACACATTTCTTGTTAACAAACTATAGTTTTGGCAAGTCGGTTAGGACATCTACTTTGTGCATGACAAAAGTAATTTTTCCATCAATTGTTTACAGACAGATTATTTCACTTATAATTCACTGTATCACAATTCCAGTGGGTCAGAAGTTTACATACACTAAGTTGACTGTGCCTTTAAACAGCTTGGAAAATTCCAGAAAATGATGTCATGGCTTTAGAAGCTTCTGATAGGCTAATTGACATAATTTGAGTCAATTGGAGGTGTACCTGTGGATGTATTTCAAGGCCTACCTTCAAACTCAGTGCCTCTTTGCTTGACATCATGGGAAAATCAAAAGAAATCAGCCAAGACCTCAGAAAAAGTATTGTAGACCTCCACAAGTCTGGTTCATCCTTGGGAGCAATTTCCAAACGCCTGAAGGTACCACGTTCATCTGTACAAACAATAGTACGCAAGTATAAACACCATGGGACCACGCAGCTGTCATACCGCTCAGGAAGGAGATGCGTTCTGTCTACTAGAGATGAAGGTACTCTGGTGCGAAAAGTGCAAATCAATTCCAGAACAACAGCAAAGGACCTTGTGAAGATGCTGGAGGAAACATGTACAAAAGTATCTATATCCACAGTAAAAAGAGTCCTATATCGACATAACCTGAAAGTCCGCTCAGCAAGGAACAAGCCACTGCTCCAAAACCACCATAAAAAAGCCAGACTACGGTTTGCTAACTGCACATGGGGACAAAGATCGTACTTTTTGGAGAAATGTCCTCTGGTCTGATGAAAAAAATATATAACTGTTTGGCCATAATGACCATCGTTATGTTTGGAGGAAAAAGGGGGATGCTTGCAAGCCGAAGAACACCATCCCAACCGTGAAGCACAGGGGTGGCAGCATCATGCTGTGGGGCTGCTTTGCTGCAGGAGGGACTGGTGCACTTCACAAAATAGATGGCATCATGAGGAAGGAAAATTAGGTGGATATATTGAAGCAACATCTTAAGCCATCAGTCAGGAAGTTAAAGCTTGGTCGCAAATGGGTCTTCCAAATGAACAATGACCCCAAGCATACTTCCAAAGTTGTGGCAAAATGGCTTAATGACAACAAAGTCAAGGTATTGGAGTGGCCATCACAAAGCCTGACCTCAATCCTATAGAAAATGTGTGGGCAGAACTGAAAAAGCATGTGTGAGCAAGGAGGCCTACAAACCTGACTCAGTTACACCAGCTCTGTCAGGAGGAATGGGCCAAAATTCACCCAACTTATTGTGGGAAGCTTGTGGAAGGCTACCCAAAACATTTGACCCAAGTTAAACAATTTAAAGACAATGCTACGAAATACTAATTGAGTGTATGTAAACCTCTCACCCACTGGGAATGCGATGAATGAAATAAAAGCTGAAATAAATCATTCTCTCTACTATTATTCTGACATTTCACATTCTTAAAATAAAGTGGTGATCCTAACTGACCTAAAACAGGGACTTTTTACTAGGATTAAATGTCAGGAATTGTGAAAAACTGAGTTTAAATGTATTTGGCTAAGGTGTATGTAAAGTTCCGACTTCAACTGTATGTATTACTAGTAATACTAAATCAAACATCTTTAAAATACTACCTTAAAAATAATAATTCACTATAAATCACTAGACCCTTAAAAAAAAAGGTGAGGTACTATGAATCCCCAGTGATGTTGTGGTGGATGGTAGTCAATGTGTTAAATGTAGGTGTGTGTGTTCTAGGACGATGCTTCTAAGTGAGATAGACAAGGAGGAGCGGGAGCGTCGCTGGTACTACAGCCAGCTCCAGGGACTCTCTCAGCGGCTGAACCAACTGCCACGCATCGACACGGTGAGAGCACTTTAACGCCACTGAGTCTCCAGAACATTCTCTCCTGCACAGTGCTCAGACACAGTGGACTATAACAGACAGCAGTACAGTACACAGTATACGTGTACTCAGCACTCAGTTGCAGGAAATGTAGGCACTTTTTTTGGAAACTGTCGCCCCCTCTTATTTCATTGTGTGCTTGTTGGAAAATGCCTCTTTGGAAACAGTTTAGAGTATGAGTAGAGTAGAGTATTACTTTATTATTTAATGGACAGACAAAATGTCTTATTGCTTTCTTGTATGTTCATTGTCATGAAATCAACTCAATATTGTTTTAACAGGGGCACAGGCAAGAGTTAAACCACAGATAGAACAATGAGCCAGATATTTCACCGGATGTATAAATGTGAAGCATCCGCTTCATGTTTCCACTCACTACCAAATATGGTGATGAGAGGAAGCCCAGTGGCCGGCAGTGTGAGAAAATGGAGCGAGATGGATTTTGCAAATAAATGCTAGATTACACCAATAGGATCTCTCTAGCTTGTGCTTGGTTCTGTCCACCTCCTTGCTTGTTCTGCCCACTATGATTAATTTGCTCCCATTGGAAACGACAGGCTCTGGTCTATCTTGGGTTAGTTATAAAAAATATTTGGTTAAGCTTTTCGGCAGAGAAGCTAGCATCCATTTTGTTTCAGAATGCCCCAAAATGGAGGCTTTTGTTGTGTGGAAACTAAGCTATTTTTCCTTATCTTAACAGTTCTCCATACAGATTGACCTCATTCGTCAGCAGCTGGAGTTCGAGGCACAGCAGTTGCGTTCTGTCATGGAGGAACGATTCGGAACCAGCGATGAAATGGTCCAGAGGACACAGGTAAGGAGAGGGACTCTGCCACGTCTGTCTCTGTCATGGCAACACACACAGTAACATTTGGCAACTATTGTCAAAACGTTCAGTTACATTATTGCGTGTGGAACTTCTTTCTGAAACATGTTTTGAATGCAACACACACATTTTACATGAAAAAACACAGAAATTAAAACTGTGCTGTCAGAAGGTGTTGTACAATGTTTGTCGCGACACAAAATGGCTGTGGCGACTAAAGACTCTCTCTGTCTCCCCTCACAGATCCGTGTGGCTCGTCTGGAACAGCTGGAGAAAGAACTACAGGAGGCCCAGGAGTCCAGAGGCACCCAGGAGAAGAGCCTGTGTGAGGTGAGATAACACACTCACACATACACGCACACACACACACACACACACACACACACACACACACACACACACACACACACTTGAAACTCAAGTAAAACATGGGGGCCTTGTATTGAATGTCCAACAGAGGCAGAACAGAGGAATTAGTTGGAAAGTGGAAACATAAGACTTCAATCACAGAGACTGTTGTGAACAATGAATAAGCACAGTGAGTACGGTTACATGCACACAATAATATGATTATTGTGAATAGTCCGATTAATATAATAGTTCAAATTAAACATTTACATGCTTTGCAAGAAGAACGATTTCCCTAATAATCCTGTTTACATGGACACATCTGAAATCAGGCTACGTGATGGGACTTTGATAAATGCAGAAAATCGGCAATCAAAATAAACGTTATACCACAGCAACCCTGTTATTTTTGTGAAGCCTATTTGATTCTGAGTTCGGACATATCAAGTTTTTATTTGAAAACTATTTCTAGATGCATACTTTTTCCTGAACTCACTTCACTCGCGCAAAAGAAGGAAGCTCGCGCTGCTCGTGCTGGCACATGCGCAGATCAAACACACAGCTGTAACTATGATTAGGTGTTAACTTGTCCTTATAATTTGAAAGATTGCTCAGAAAGCCAGGTGTTTTAATCGCTGTATGCTTACTTCGATTATGACCTTACGCTGATTAAGATAAGCAGAGTAAGGTTTTTACATGACTAATGCCATACTCAGCCTACTGCTATAATCAGTTTAATAGAAAATTATTAGTGTGCATGTCAACATACTGTACTCAGAGATTGAGACAAGCAAGTGACAGTGACAGATAATCCTGTGTTCTGTTTTCACACAATAATTTTTTACTTTTTTACAATAATTCTAAAACATGAAAGATGACAAGGATTATTTTCACTCTGAGGTGATTTATTTATTTCCCATTGTCTGCCGCCTCAGCAGCTTTTGGTCAATTTAGATCATATTGTCAGTTTTCCTTGTCCTTTGGCTGGTTGAATATTTCCCTCACTACTTCCTCTCCTGCGTCTTGTCAGCACTGCGCTGAATGTTTTATAGGTGCTTTGAAATATTGAGGCTATGCGATCACTAGGTGGGGTGTACACAAACAGATGCAGTGGTACAACTCTGCCTGCAACACTGACACATGCTGAACATGTGTGACAGAATGTTTGATGTGCCTTCTAATGCATATTTACTGATTACACAGGCACACCACCATATTGGATTTACAATAAATATTAAATGCCTGGAAAACCACAAGCTACTCCAGGTAATTTAATATTGATGAGAAACACAGACGAGAATGTTGTTTTCATTTGAAAATGAACACTCAGTAACTGTGAATTTAACACCAGGTTTGGAAATGTTAAAATTAGTCCTGCTTTATATAGTCATAAGATATTCGTAATTTTACTTGAGGGGGTTCCACTTAGAGTTCATTAATTATGAACTACACTGAACAGAAATATAAATGCAACATGAAACAATTTGAAATATTTTACTGCGTTACAGTTCATATAAGGAAATCAGTCAATTGAAATAAATTCATTAAGCACTAATCTATGAATTTCACATGACTGGGAATACAGATATGCATCTGTTGGTCACAGATACCATTAAAGAAAGGTAAGGCGTGGATCAGAAAACCAGTCAGTATCTGATGTGACCATTTGCATCATGCAGCGCGACACATCTCCTTCACATGGAGTTGATCAGGCTGTTGATTGTGGCCTGTGGAATGTTGTCCCACTCCTCCTCCTTCAATGGCTGTGCGAAGTTCCTGGATATTGGCAGGAACTGGAACACGCTGTCGTACACGTAGATCCAGAGCCTGACAAACATGCTCAATGGGTGACATGTCTGGTGAGTATGCAGGCCATGGAAGAACTGGGACATTTTCAGCTTCCATGAAATGTGTATAGATCCTTGCGACATGGGGTCGTGCATTGTCATGCTGAAACATGGTGATGGCGGCGGATGAATGGCACGACACTGGGCCTAAAGATCTCGTCACGGTATCTCTGTGCATTCAAATTGCAATCAATAAAATGCAATTGTATTTGTTGTCCGTAGCTTATGCCTGCCCATACCATAACCCCAACACCACCATGGGGCACTCTGTTCACAACGTTGATATCAGGAAACCGCTCTCCCACACAACGCCATACACGTTGTCTGCCATCATCCTGGTACACTTAAAACCGGGATTCATCCTTGAAGAGCACACTTCTCCAGCTTGCCAGTGGCCATCGAAGGTGAGCATTTGCCCACTGAAGTCGGTTATGATGCCGAACTGCAGTCAGGTCAAGACCCTGGTGAGGACGACGAGCATGCAGATGAGCTTCCCTGAGACGGTTTCTGACAGTTTGTTCAGAAATTATTCGGTTGTGCAAACCCACAGTTTTATCAGCTTTCCAGGGTGGCTCGTCTCAGACCATCCCGCAGGTGAAGAAGCCGGATGTGGAGGTCCTGGGCTGGCGTGGTTACATGTGGTCTGCGGTTGTGAGGCCGGTTGGTCGCACTGCCAAATTCTCTAAAATGACGTTGGAGGCAGCTTATGGTAGAGAAATTAACATTCAATTATCAGGCAACAGCTCTGGTGGACATTCCTGTAGTCAGCATGCCAATTGCACTCTCCCTCAAAACTTGAGACATCTGTGGCATTGTGTTGTGTGACATAACTGCACATTTTGGAGTGGCCTTTTATTGTCCCCAGCACAAGGTGCACCTGTGTAATGATAATTCTGTTTAATCAGCTTCTTGATATGCCACACCTGTCAGGCGGATGGATTACCTTGGCAAAGGATAAATGCTCACTAACAGGGATGTAAACAAATTTGTGGCCAATATTTGAGAGAAATAAGCTTTTGGTGCGTATGGAACATTTCTGGGATCTATTATTTCAGCTCATGAAACATGGGACCAACAATTTACATTTTTGTTCAGTATAGCTTGAATAAATCATTGTGGACAAATCGATTGAGGCCATTTGATAATTTTTCAGATTGAACTTGGGCAAACCTTTGGCCTAGAAAAGAAGAAATAAACAAAACAAAAAACAATTAGTCAAACAACATCTTGATTGGCCCACAGTAATAGTTTCTTAAAGCCAATTTATGCTTGATCTGAAAATGTGGTCGGAGGCTCCGTATGGAGGGTGTGATGCAATTGTGGGGCCTCCGTAGGCACGCAGAGGCCAAATTGAGCTCCGTACCGCATTGCCATGCTTCCCAAATGCTGTAACAATGCGGAGGGCTCCGTATAAAGCCACATTGACATCAATGGTTGACGGTAGATGGGGGCGGGAGGGCCTGTATAAACACAAACTCACTTCCTTAACAACTTCCTTCACAACAGCTCTGCTCAACAGCTCTGCACTGCTCCGCAAAGCGCAATAATTATGAATGCCCTGACTTCTATAGAGGCCGTATCACTGTAAATGCTGCACGGCCAATGCAGACGGCGGATTGACCATGCAGTGCCTTTAAGTCAGCTGATCATTATGCAGTACAAGCCTAAAATGTGTTATAATTACCTGTTCTGAGTAGAATATTTCAATTAGTAGGCTATTTACTGTATATAATATTGACGTCGTCCTGTGGTTTCCATTTGGGATAGATTCTTATAAGGAGAGTGCACTGTAACTGTGTGCAGAAGTACGTCATACAGTAGGATCTATAATACTGTAGGTTGTGGAATGTTGTGTTATCCTGTAATATACTGTAAATCCACTTTTCTCTCTCTCTCTCTCTCTCTCTCTCTCTCTCTCTCTCTCTCTCTCTCTCTCTCTCTCTCTCTCTATCCCCACCTCTCTCTCTATCATAGCTGCCGTGCTGCTATGCAGAATGCGGGCTTTGCCCCTCTTTAGCTCGGCTCCAATTGGCCGCTCCTCCTAAAGAGTATAGCGTTGCTTTGGCACTGCAAGCTTGGCACAGCAGGAGTGGGTGTTTCGGTTGAGTGGGTCTCAGACCGGCCCGTCTAGGTGTCTGTGTATCTGTCCTCTGGGCTCTGTAGGAGAATAGCAATGAGTTCTCTAGTACCAGGATGCAGGAAGAATGAGAATGAACAGGGGCAACAATAGACACATTGTACCATGTTTTTCTGGGCTATTGTCAACCATCTTGCATCACACAGCAGGTTCCTATGCAATCCAGTGTAAGCATATGATGATTTATTTAAACTGCGTGGCTACGACAATGAATGGGGTAAAAGCCACGGCGGATTCAATCCATCAAAACACAGACACATTTAGCATGTTTATCTTGTTATCGGCGAGATCACACTTTATTGCTTACAACATGATGGAGCTATTCAGACAAGTATATGTCTAAAAGCCCTCCGCCTTTGTCTGAAAGCTAGTCTTCGGTGTGATCAGGCACAGGCCTGGTTACCATGGTGATGGACTGGGGGAATGAAAGAGTTGATAGATGACTCTCTGAAGATTTGCGATGGAGCCAATCGGTTTGTTGAATCCAAATGGAGTGTGTCTGTATGCTGGGAGTGTGCAGTTGATACCTTATGAGAAAAGACATGAATGTCTGTCTGCAGGGCCAAGATTAAGATGCAGGAGGTGAAATTAAATGTATTGATATCTGTTAGTTGTCTATTGACAATAACATCTCACTCTGGTGTTCACTTCAGGAGATACTGATGCTGACTACTAAATACTTTTTTATGTTTGGACAGCAAATGTAGGTACATTGTTTTTCCCAATGATCTACCAATGCCAGAGGCTGGAAACATTTGTTATTTATTTAGGCCCACTTATCGGGTATAATTATATTTGGGATATTAACAAATATTATTGTAAAATAAATGTTCATAATCTTTCCATTCAGATGTAATTCAGTCTGTTAAACCCAATAAATATAACTCACTCCAATTTGTATACATACAGTATTGAATATAATTATGGAATATAATTTATCTACAAAGACATTAGTCTATTTTAAAAACTCTATTCTATTTTAAATAATCTATAGGATTGTAATTTAGACATTTAGACTGCAATTAATAACAGAATACATTTTCTCAAGGGCACTTGGAGGTCAGTCTTGATTGTGAAGCCTGTATTGAAATTTGTTTTGGATGATATTAAATCAATACTTTGACTCCAAGTAGCATTTTTCATCCTATCTTCTTTTTAAGTTGTGAGCCAAGATTGTTTCAGCACTTTTATTTCCATGACTGATCAAAACTCATTTTCTCATGCTCTCTCGTCTCTCTGCAGAAGACATATAGTGAGCAATATGTTTGGAAAATTGCAATAGAATCGCAGTATAGAATCGCAATACATATACAATTGTGAGAGTCGCAATACATATCGTATCGGCAGCTAAGTATTGTGATAATATCATATTGTGAGGCCATCCCCAGCCCTAATAGAAAGGTAAAAAGCAAACAGCCTCCAATTGACTTTTATGCTACAAAATAAAAAATTATTCATGTCAGTTACTTGACCCTTATTGACATGAAGCAGTTTGAAACCATGTCATTTACGAACCCTCTCTTTCTTTGCAGATCTCAAGCTGTGAAAAGCTGCCTATTCCCGAAACTGAAAATGCGTTGTCTGCTTCTGCTCTGGATGCACACAGAGATGGAAGCAGAGTAAGGCCATCATAACATCTTTAGTAATGATGAATTGAGTTTGCATTAGTTGCTCTGCATTATTTAGATGACTATTTGTGTAAGTGGACAATACTCAGATCCCATGGAGCCATGTGTAGTGAAAGTAGATCTTACATGGTTATGATAATATTGAACCACCATTTTGCGACTGGGTATTTCGATGGTTTTACATAATATGCAAGTTATGCATATAATGTTATGATATCAAATATCCTCTTCAGGTCATTGCTATAAAATATTGAGGCATCTCTCAGTCGACTTACCTGCCAAAATAAAGGTAAATAAATGAATGAATGAAATACATACTCACCACGGCCATTGTGTATTTAATCTGGATTAGGTGGAGGTGGTGTTCTGGCTGCTCTCCATGCTGGCCAACCGGGACAGGGAGGAGATGTCCCGCACTCTGCTGGCCATGTCTAGCTCCCAAGACAGCTGCATCGCCATGCGCAAGTCCGGCTGCGTCCCCCTGCTGGTGCAGATCCTGCACGACGGCTCAGGGGGTGCCGGAGAGTCGGCCGGGAGTGTAGCATGCAGCCGGGAAGCCCAGTCCAGAGCCAGCGCTGCCCTGCACAACATAGTGTACTCCCAGCCCGACGAGGGCCAGGCCCAGCGGGAGATGAGGGTGCTGCACGTGCTGGAGCAGATCCGCTCACACTGTGACAGCGGCTGGGACTGGATAGAGAGCCACGTGCGGACGCCCTCCCCCGGAGGTACTACAATCACAGGTTAGTAGAGGAGGATTATTTTAGGAGATTCATGCGATCGCTATAGCAGACAGTGGATTATATAGTGATGTGAGAGTAATTCAAGATGTACTTGTCCGTGTTCCATGTTGTGTTCAGACATCCCTGAGCCAGTGGAGCCCCAGATCTGCCAGGCCATGTGTGCTGTCATGAAGCTCTCCTTCGAGGAGGAGTACCGAAGAGCCATGAATGAACTAGGTTAGTGAACAACACGTCAGTGGGAAATATACACAGACGATAAAGCATAACCATAAAGAAAAATATTATATGTGAATGAATCAATTGTTCAGTTTGTGATGTGCATGGCTGGTGTTTCTGTTTAGGGGGGTTGCAGGTAGTTGCAGAGGTGATGCACTTGGACCAGGAGCTGTACGGCATGCAGAACGATCCCATCAATATGGCGCTTCGACGCTACGCGGGAATGGCACTGACAAACCTTACTTTCGGAGATGTCGTAAACAAGGTATCAATCGAAAAGCATCGAATCACTGAGAGGGATACATATTTATCTGATTTGTAAGGATATTTTTCAATAAAGATAAATGACTTATGTCTGACCTGTCTTTTATACAGGCCACTCTCTGCACAAAGAAAAGCTGCCTGCAGGCCATTGTCGCCCAACTTGCATCTGATAGTGAGGAACTACATCAGGTACGATGTTGTTACTACTATACTAACTACTTCCAGAGTGTATTAATTCTGTCACCATTTCAGGATCACTAGACATGACTATTTTTAGTTTCAGTGGTTCAAATACATTTTTCCAGTACCACATGGCTGAAGAGGTCATGTCTATTGCTCCCTCACAGGTAGTGTCGAGCATTCTGAGAAATCTGTCATGGCGTGCAGACATCAACAGCAAGAGGGTCCTTAGAGACGTAGGGAGTGTAACAGGATTGATAACCTGTGCTCTTCAAGCTACAAAGGTAAGATCACACCTAGATTATGTGATCGATGCAAGTTGGCAATTGTAACCAAAGCAATTATCGAAGGAAATAATTGCAAAATATAATAAATAAAAATATACAGTACCAGTCAGAAGTTTAGACACACCTACTCATTCAAGGTTTTATCTTTATTTAGACTATTGTCTACATTGTAGAATAATAGTGAAGACATCAAAACTATGAAATAACACATATGGAATCACGTAGTAACCAAAAAAGTGTTAAACAAATCAAAATATATTTTATATTTGAGATTCTTCGAAGTAGCCACCCTTTGCTTTGATGACAGCTTTGCACACTCTTGGCATTCTCTCATACAGCTTCATGAGGTAGTCACCTGGAATGCATTTAAATTAACAGGTGTGCCTTGTTAAAAGTTAATTTGTGACATTTCTTTCCTTCGTAATGTGTTTGAGCCAATCAGTTGTGTTGTGACTCGGTAGGGGTGGTATACAGAAGATAGCCCTGTTTGATAAAAGACCAAGTCCATATTATGGCAAGAACAGCTCAAATAAACAAAGAGAAACGACAGTCCATCATTACTTTAAGACATGAAGGTCAGTCAATACGGAACATTTCAAGAACTTTGAAAGTTTCTTCAAGTGCAGTCGCAAAAACCATCAAGCGCTATGATGAAACTGGCTCTCATGAGGACCGCCACAGGAAAGGAAGACCCAGAGTTACCTCTGCTGCAGAGGACAAGTTCATTAGAATAACTGCACCTCAGATTGCAGCCCAAATAAATGCTTCACAGAGTTCAAGTAACAGACACATCTCAACATCAACTGTTCAGAGGAAACTGCGTGAGTTAGGCCTTCATGGTCGAATTGCTGCAAAGCAACCACTACTAAAGGACACCAATAAGAACAAAAGACTTGCTTGGGCCAAGAAACACAAGCAATGGAGATTAGACCGGTGGAAATATGTCCTTTGGTCTGATGAGACCAAATGTGAGATTTTTGGTTCCAACTGCCGTGTCTTGGTGAGAGCAGAGTAGGTGAACGGATGATCTCCGCATGTGTGGTTCCCACCATGAAGCATGGAGGAGGAGGTGTGATGGTGTGGGGGTGCTTTGCTGGTGACACTGTCTGTGATTTAATTAGAATTCAAGGCACACTTAACCAGCATGGCTACCACAGCATTCTGCAGCAATACGCCATCCCATCTGGTTTGCGCTTAGTGGGACTATCATTTGTTTTTCAACAGGACAATGACCCAAAACACACTTCCAGGCTGTGTAAGGGCTATTTGACCAAGAAGGAGATGATGGAGTGCTGCATCAGATGACCTGGCCTCCACAATCACCTGACCTCAACCCAATTGAGATGGTTTGGGATGAGTTGGACCGCAGAGTGAAGGAAAAGCAGCCAACAAGTGCTCAGCATATGTGGGAACTCCTTCAAGACTGTTGGAAATGCATTCCAGGTGAAGCTGGTTGAGAGAATGCCAAGAGTGTGCAAAGCTGTCATCAAGGCAAAGGGTGGCTACTTTGAAGAATCTCAAATATAAAATATATTTGATGTCTTCACTCTTATTCTACAATGTAGAAAATAGTAAAAATTAAGAAAAACTCTTGAATGAGTAGGTGTGTCCAAACTTTTGACTGGTACTGTATACAGTGGTGTGAAAAAGTGTTTACTCCCTTCCTGATTTTGTTATTTGTTTGCATGTTTGTCACACTTAAATGTTTCAGATCATCAAACAAATTTAAATATTAGTCAAAGATAACACAAGTAAACACAAAATGCAGTTTTGAAATGAAGGTTGTTATTATTAAGGGAAAACAAAATCGAAACCTACATGGCCCTGTGTGAAAAAGTGTTTGCCCCCCTGTTATAACACAACTCAACTGTGGTTTATCACACCTTAGTTCAATTCCTCTAGCCACACCCAGGCCTGATTACTGCCACACCTGTTCTCAATCAAGGAATCACTTAAATAGGACCTGCCAGACAAAGTGAAGTAGACCAAAATATCCTCAAAAGCTAGACATCATGCCGAGATCCAAAGAAATTCAGGAACAAATTGGAAAGAAAGTAGTTGAGATCCATCAGTCTGGAAAAGGTTATAAAGCCATTTCTAAAGCTTTGGGACTCCAGAGAACCACAGTGAGAGCCATTATCCACAAATGGCGAAAACATGGAACAGTGGTGAACCTTCCCAGGAGTGGCCGGCCGACCAAAATTACCCCAAGAGCGCAGCGACGACTCATCCAAGAGGTCACAAAAGACCCCACAACAACATCCAAAGAGCTGCAGGCCTCACTTGCCTCAGTTAAGGTCAGTGTTCATGACTCCACCATAAGAAAGAGACTGGGCAAAAATGGCCTGCATGGCAGAGTTCCAAGACGAAAACCACTGCTGAGCAAAAATAACATTAAGGCTCGTCTCATTTTTGCCAGAAAACATCTTGATGATCCCCAAGACCTTTGGGGAAATACTCTGTGGACTGACGAGACAAAAGTTGAACTTTTTGGAAGGTGTGTGTCCCATTACATCTGGCGTAAAAGTAACACCGCATTTCAGAAAAAGAACATCATACCAACAGTAAAATATGGTGGTGGTAGTGTGATGGTCTGGGCCTGTTTTGCTGTTTCAGGACCTGGAAGACTTGCTGTGATAAATGGAACCATGAATTCCGCTGTCTACCAAAAAATCCTGAAGGAGAATGTCCGGCCATCTGTTTGTGACCTCAAGCTGAAGCGAACTTGGGTTCTGCAGCAGGACAATGATCCAAAACACACCAGCAAGTCCACTTCTGAATGGCTGAAGAAAAACAAAATGAAGACTTTGGAGTGGCCTAGTCAAAGTCCTGACCTGAATCCTATTGAGATGCTGTGGCATAATGTCACGATCGTCGTAGGGAATAGACCAAGGCGCAGCGTGATGAACGAACATGTTTAACTTTATTATCTTTAGTGATAATAGAACAGCAATAAACAAAACAACAAACGACTCGTAACGTCCTAGGTATCATAGACCAACACGGAACAAGAACCCACAACCACAAAGGGAAAACAGACAGCTGACACTCGTTGCCTCTGATTGGGAGTCACTCTAGCCAACATAGAAATAAACACAACTAGAACTACCAACATAGAAATCTAACACATAGAATGAACACACCCTGGCTCAACATATAGAGTCCCAGAGCCAGGGTGTGACAGTACCCCCCCCCTAAAGGCGCGGACTGCGACCGCGCCTCAACTAGAGCAAAACAGGGGAGGGCTGGGTGGGCATACCTCCTCGGCGGCGGTTCTGGCTCCGGCCTTGCCCACCACCCTCCAATAAACCCCCCATAGCGCCCCAGGTCCGGTCTGGCCCCGCTGGCTGGAGCTGAACTGGACGTAGCAGGAGCGGTTAGCTTCAGCTCCGTTGTGGAGCAGTTGACCGGTACCTGATTAGGCACCGGTGACCCAGGCACGGGTTGTGCCGGACTGACGACGCGCACCCCTGGCTTGGTGCGTGGAGCAGCAACGGGCCGGACCGGGCTGACGATGCGCACCCCTGGCTTGGTGCGTGGAGCCGGAACGGGCCTCACCGGACTGACGACTCGCACCCCTGGCTTGGTGCGTGGAGCAGCAACGGGCCAGACCGGGCTGACGATGCGCACCCCTGGCTTGGTGCGTGGAGCCGGAACGGGCTTTACCGGGCTGACGACTCGCACCCCTGGCTTGGTGCGTGGAGCAGCCACGGGCTTTACCAGGCTGACGACTCGCACCCCTGGCTTGGTGCGAGTAGCAGGAACGGGCTGGACCAGGCTGACGACTCGCACCCCTGGCTTGGTGCGAGTAGCAGGAACGTTCTGGACCAGGCTGACGACTCGCACCCCTGGCTTGGTGCGAGTGGCAGGAACAGGCCGGGCCGGGCTGGCGACGCGCACCGTAGGCTTGGTGCGAGTGGCAGGAACAGGCCGGGCCGGGCTGGCGACGCACACCGTAGGCTTGGTGCGAGTGGCAGGAACAGGCCGGGCCGGGCTGGCGACGCGCACCGTAGATTTGGTGCGAGTGGCAGGAACAGGCCGGGCCGGGCTGGCGATGCGCACCGTAGCCCTGGTGCGAGGGGCAGGAACAGGCCGGGCCGGGCTGGCGACGCGCACCGTAGATTTGGTGCGAGTGGCAGGAACAGGCCGGGCCGGGCTGGCGACGCGCACCGTAGGCTTGGTGCGAGTAGCAGGAACAGGCCGGACCGGGCTGGTGACGCACACCGTAGGCTTGGTGCGTGGAGCAGGGACAGGCCGGACTGGGCTGGCGACGCACACCGTAGGCTTGGTGCGAGGAGCAGGGACAGGCCGGACCGGACTGGCGACGCACACCGTAGGCTTGGTGCGAGGAGCAGGGACAGGCCGGACCGGACTGGCGACGCACACCGTAGGCTTGGTGCGTGGAGCAGGGACAGGCCGAACCGGGCTGTGGAGACGGATAGGAGACCTGGAGTGAAGAGCGGCCACAACCCGTCCTGGCTGAATGCCTACCCTCACACACTCTGTGTGAGGCATCCGCACAGGACGTACAGGGCTGTGTACCCGTACTGGCATAACAGCACGTGACACTGGAGCAGGATATCCGGGACCGCGGAGAGGCATTGGAGACCACGAGCGTTGAGCCGGCACACTCCGTCCTGGCTGCATACCCACCTTCGCACGACACGTGCGGGGTGCTCGCACAGGACGTACAGGACTATGCCGGACCACTCGTGGCACAGTACGCCGCTCCGCATACCGCGGAACCTGCCCCGTCCCATGCTGCCATGCCTGAGTACGGGAAGTTGGTTCCGCTCTCCATCCAGGCTCCGCCAACCTGCCTTCTGGCCCCCCAAACCCGGTGGCCTCCTCTCCAAATCGCCCTGTGGCAGCCTCCTGCTGCCCAGCCGCCCATGCCGTGTGCCCCCCCCTAAAAAATTTTTGTGGTTGCCTCTCGTCCGTCCGACGATGACACTGCTGACGCCGCTGCTCCTCTCTCGCCAGGGCCTTAATCCTAGCCCATGGTCCTTTTCCCCCGAGCATGTCCTCCCAGGACCATACTTTGCCCACCTGGGCCATCGCCAACATCTCCATCTCCTTTCCCGGCGCTTCCTCCCATGTCCAGTCTGCCTGCTCCTGGACACGCTGCTTGGTCCTTGTATGGTGGGTTCTTCTGTCACGATCGTCGTAGGGAATAGACCAAGGCGCAGCGTGATGAACGAACATGTTTAACTTTATTATCTTTAGTGATAATAGAACAGCAATAAACAAAACAACAAACGACTCGTAACGTCCTAGGTATCATAGACCAACACGGAACAAGAACCCACAAACACAAAGGGAAAACAGACAGTTTAAATATGGCTCCCAATCAGAGACAACCAACGACAGCTGACACTCGTTGCCTCTGATTGGGAGTCACTCTAGCCAACATAGAAATAAACACAACTAGAACTACCAACATAGAAATCTAACACATAGAATGAACACACCCTGGCTCAACATATAGAGTCCCAGAGCCAGGGTGTGACACATAACCTTAAAAAGGCAGTTCATGCTCGAAAACCCTCCAATGTGGCTGAATTACAACAATTCTGCAAAGATGAGTGGGCCAAAATTCCTCCACAGCGCTGTAAAAGACTCATTGCAAGTTATCGCGAACACTTTGTTGTTTCTGCTAAGGGTGGCCCAACCAGTTATTAGGTTGTAGGGGGCAATCACTTTTTCACACAGGGCCATGTGGGTTTGGATTTTGTTTTCCCTTAATAATAACAACCTTCATTTCAAAACTGCATTTTGTGTTTACTTGTGTTATCTTTGACTAATATTTAAATTTGTTTGATGATCTGAAACATTTAAGTGTGACAAACATAGAAACAAATAAGAAATCAGGAAGGGGGCAAACACTTTTTCACACCACTGTGTATATATATCTCTAACGCAATGTTAATGCAAAATCCCATTTTAGGAATCCACCTTGAAGAGCCTCCTCAGCGCTCTGTGGAACCTGTCAGCACACAGTCCTGAGAACAAGTTAGCCATTTGCTCAGTAGATGGGGCTCTGGGCTTCTTGGTCAGCACCCTCACCTACAGATGTCAGACCAACTCACTGGCAATCATTGAGAGTGGAGGTGGCATCCTGCGTAATGTGTCCAGTCTTGTGGCCACACGGGACGATTACAGGTATTTCCTTGAATGGAATTCTATATCAATGCAACTGTTCAATGATTATTGCCATCAATTTCCACACATTTCATTCTAACATGCTTGTATACTTAGTATGTTCCCCTTCTTTCAACACAGGCAAATCCTCAGAGACCACAACTGCCTCCAAACGTTGCTACAGCACCTGCGCTCTCACAGCCTTACCATTGTGAGCAATGCTTGTGGGACCCTCTGGAATCTCTCTGCCCGCAGTCCCAAGGACCAGGAACTACTGTGGGACCTCGGGGCAGTCAGCATGCTGCGCAACCTCATCCACTCCAAGCACAAAATGATAGCCATGGGAAGTGCCGCAGCTCTACGGAACCTGCTCACGAACCGGCCCCTCAAGTATAAGGATGCCGCGGTCATATCCCCTGGTTCCTGCATGCCCTCGCTCTACATGAGGAAGCAGAAAGCACTAGAGGCTGAGCTAGATGCAAAGCATCTGGCGGAGACCTTTGATTCCATTGAAAAACAAAGCAGCGCCAAGCATCCAAGCATCAACAAGCCACTGCGGCACATCGAGAGCCTGGCAAAGGATTACGCATCTGACTCGGGCTGCTTTGACGACGATGAGGCCCCTAATGTCTCAAGTAGTCTGGACACAGGCAGTTTCTCCATGCTCTCCATGTTCTTGAGCAATTCCAACTTTCTTCAAAACCAGCCTCGCAAGAAGGACAGTGAACCGGAGAGAGATGTGGAGCGACCACAGACAGAGGATAAGAAGCCAGCGCCTCCAGAACATGAGGTGTCTGTTGCAGCAGAAAAACTAGCAAAAAAGATCACCAACACTGTGGCCAAGATTGATAAGCTTGTGGAGGACATTACCATGCATACATCTTCGGAGGACAGCTTTAGCCTTAGCTCAGAGGACCATTTTGCAGACCTGCCCTATGGATCAAATGAACTCCATGAGGCCCGGGCCAAGTCATGCTCCCCCTGTCGCCTCTCTGATACCAGCAGCTTTGCACACAGAGAACGTCTGAACAGAGCCCATGCTCTCTTACGTCTCAAAACCACCCATGCAAGTTTGTCCACTGACAGTCTGAACAGTGGCAGCACCAGTGATGGCTATTGTGGTAGCAAGGACCAGATTAGGCCCTCAGCGAGACGTCCTAACAAGCTTGATCTTAAGGTGGCTTATCAAGAATACCTTAACGTCGGAACTCATGTCCTCAATGAGACAAGTCAGATCGATGTACCAGAGAGAGATTCTGTGGACAACAAAGAAGTGAATTTGCCTGAACTTAATAGCACAGAAACAGAGAAGAGTCAAGAGCTGCCCCCGCAAACACCAGCTAGTGCATCAACTAAACTCTCTTCTGATGTCAGCATGACTTCCATAAAGCTGTCCCCTTCCTACCAACATGTCCCTCTAATTCAAAGTGTCGCTAAGTTTGGTGTTGCAAAGACTGCCATCAATGTGCAGGCAGCTCAAGCAATGAGGAGACAAGCCTGGGTCCCAACTGTGATGACTGGAGGGAGTTTAACCAAGTTTTCTCCAATGAGCTCTGCTAGAAGTCCAACCATTGGACCAATGGAGACACTGCAGAAGTATTCAGTGGAGAACACACCAATCTGTTTCTCCCGTTGCAGTTCCCTGTCCTCCCTCTCCTCTGGTGATGAAGCTCTTGACGGGCAGAGTCAAAGTGAAAATGAGTTGGAGAGTGACTCATCACTTGAGATCATTGAAGTGGAAGATGGGGATCTGGTAAAGAGGGAAGAGGAGAATGAGACCCTGGAGGATCTTAGTGATAGCCAACTGCTAGTCACTGATTCAAAAACCTGTCAGAGCATTGGGTCTGATCCTATTGAAATTCCCTGCCCCACCAAACGTGAAAAGGTGTTCCTGAGGGGTGTATCACCAGGCATACCTGAGGACAGATCACCTTCAAGTTCGTCAGAGAACTACATCCATGAGACCCCACTTGTGATGAGTCGTTGCAGCTCTGTCAGCTCACTGGGTAGCTTTGAATCTCACTCAATTGCCAGCTCCATACTAAGTGATCCATGCAGCGAAATGATCAGTGGGACCATAAGTCCAAGTGATCTTCCTGACAGTCCAGGGCAAACCATGCCCCCCAGTCGAAGCAAAACCCCATGCTTTGCTGAATCAAATGGTCCAGAAACCCAAAATGCCGGGACAGCAGGGCAGTGGGAAAGCAGCTTGCGCAAGTTCATGGACATTGCAGACTTTAAGGAAAGGTTCAACCTGCCTCCAGATTTAGACACAATGATCTACTTTACAGTGGAAAAGCCGACAGAGAACTTTTCATGCGCCTCTAGCTTGAGTGCTCTACCTCTTCATGAGCACTTCATTCAGAAGGATGTTGAATTGAAATTGACCCCCTTACTCCAGCAAAAGGACAACAATCCAACATTCCCACTGGCTCATGGAAAGAGAGATGACAATGAGCATCCTTCCTTTATGGACCAAGGGGAAAGATATAGTGAGGGTAATTCAGATGATGATATAGAAATTCTCAAAGAATGCATCAATTCAGCAATGCCCTCCAAGTTCAGGAAAGTAAGGCCCTCCCTGATCTCCACCTTACCCACCCATGTTCTAAACTCCCAAACCAGAAAACCTATACCTGTTTATATGATGGTTCCTAACAATGCCAATCAAATGTGCTCAGGGAGAAGGATTGTAATGCAACAAAAGGACTTATATCTTGATGATTCCTCATACACTGATTCTGCTGAGGGCACTCCTGTCAACTTTTCCAGCACGACATCGTTAAGTGACGAAACACTTCAGTACCCAGTGAGGGACAAGGGGGCAAAAGATTGGAGGGTAACAAATATGAACAAACAGGAATTGTTGGATCAAGAGGCAAAGAGAATTGAAGACCTTCGGGTTTTCTCACACTTCCACAAGCCCACTAAAATGACTAGTCAGCCTGACATACCAGTCAATCAAATGAACAGGTCAATCAAACATGTCATTCCCACTCAAAGAGTACTGATGCAGAGCAAAGAGGTGGCTGATAGAGTGGCCAACCAGAGACACCGTGACCAACCACCCAATCAACAAAGACAAAAGCAGGGACAGGTCCTGACAAGGAAACTGGATCTACCTATCATAAAGCCGAACACGGAGGGGAACCAAAAACAGAGAGCACTTCAGGGGAATAAGTCTTTTCGGTCCATCCGCCATCCTACAGAGGAAGCCATTTACTGCTTATACAATGAACAGACAGACAAAGAGGAGGGAGTGATAAAAAGGGCAGGGAGAAATCAGATGAGAGAGTCCAGCAGGAACACTCTCTCCCGAAGTATGACTAATATTGGTTGGATTGACAATTCCCAGACAAGACCCAAAGGTTTTAATAGGATCAAGCACAAACTAATAATGGACGAAACACCCCAATGTTACTCTCTTAGTGGATCTCTTAGCTCTTTGATTGATGCAGAATTTGAGGAACACCAATCAAAAGCCCAGCAAATATGGGTGAAAAACAAACACAACAAGATATCTAACCAGGTCGAACAAAAAAGACCAATGCACATCCACAATCAGTATGAGGAACAAAGCTCACCAAGCTCAGTCAGTATGGATTCAGAGGATGATCTTCTGCAAAAATGCATAACATCTGCAATGCCCAAGCAGAGGAAGAAGCTTTCTGCAAGAAAGAAAGCAGAGAAGAAGCAGAAACAAAGAAATGAAATGCAGAAAGTGTCCAGTGGATGGAACAATGAACAAGACTTTGACAGTGAGGACATGGCTTCTGATAAAGACTCAGACCTCAACAGTGTTGAATGGAGAGCAATACAAGAAGGAGCTAATTCTGTTGTCACACGGTTACAAGCATCAAAATCTCAAGAACCGTCCTCTGAAGAGACTGAATCTGTCCTCTCTTTTATGTCTGGATCCAGTTTTACTCCTAAAGAAAAGAAGATATTTAAGGACAAAAAAGCTAACAAACCTCTGGACTTTAACCAACGGAAGCCAGTTCCAAATCTGCCAGTGGTCTTCAGAGGTAGAACAGTGACATACACCCCTAAGAAAGAGACAAATCTCTCACAAATACCGCCTCCTAATAAAATGTTACCCAAGACAGATGCTCCAAAGAATCCAAACCTTGCTCAACAGAGGTCAAGGAGTCTCCACCGTTTGGGACAACCCCATGACTCCACACAGTGGTGTTTGCCGAAAAGAAGCTCAACCCCACCTCCGAGGATACCAAAGAGCTCATCGTCTGGATCATCTCAAAGCTCTACTCCATCGAAACAGTCACCGAAGAAAATAACCTTCCCCTCACAAACGAGTCAATCTGTTTCCAAAAAAGTTACCACACCAGCAAGTAGTCCACCTGAAAGGAAGGGACGTTCCACTGTTCCTTCAAATCCGAGCCCAAAATCTCCAGCACACAAAACACAGAAGTCACCCGTCCGAATACCCTTCATGCAGAATACAGCAAGACAGTCCAGAACTCTATCACCATTGGTAACCAACCAACCCACAAGTATCAACAGGCAAAACAGTCAGGTGGCAGGAAAAATAATACCTCCAGCCAATCGTTTTGACTTAGTTCGCATGACATCTGTCCATTCAAGCAGCAGCGAGTCTGACCGCAATGGGTTCCTGAGGCAATTGACCTTCATCAAGGAATCAAAGACTATGATGAGACGTGTCGGTTCATCCCCACGCTCTGTTCCTACCTCGCAGCATGCATCGCCAAGAAAAGCAATCCCAGGTGCTCCTGCAGTATTCCTCTGCTCATCTCGATGCCAAGAGCTAAAGCCAGTTGCTCAGGGACCAAGGAGGATGCAAGGAAGGGGGCCAGGGCAAAGGCAAGAGCCAAGGCAGGGGCTTCAAATGCAGACTGTGACTCTGTCCAGAGCCTGCTCTAGTGACCGAGACCTCTCAACCAGGCGTCCAGCCAGGAGAACCAGCTCAGAGAGTCCCTGCAGGGTGCCTCAGAGGAACGTCTCTGCAACCAAGCAGCAGGAAAGAGACACCATCAAGCGCCATTCCTCATCGCCCAGCATAAACATACTGAGCAGAGTAACGAGCCGCTCCTCCCTCCGCTCCTCGTCCTCCGACTCAAGTGGGCGAGCCAAGAGTGAGGACGATACAAAGAAGAAGCAGCAGAGAACTGGATCACGCCTAAATGACGGAGTCACCTGGAGGAGGATTCGGGAAGAGGATGTGCCTCAAATCTTGAAGAGCACTCTGCCATCTACTGCATTGCCTCTGTTGCCTGTTCCTGAAGGGCCAAAACCAAAACCACCAGCACTGCCAGGGAAACTGCCGACCATATTACTTAAGTCAAGAAAGACGAGCGACGCCACAGTCCAAACTGAGGATTTCTCGTCCAACAAGACCAACTCAAGCACCTCTCCAACTGTTGAGACAGCTCCAGTCATCTCAGAGGAGGCAGCAAGACTAGCCCTCCTTAGAAAGATCAGCATTGGCTCCGGCCAAGATGGAGGCTCTGATGGATCCCTAAAGAACTACAGCACAGCCTCTGCTGGAAACTCACACTCTGTGGAAACTCACACAGGCGGCGTCGGCCATTTCCGTCAGAGCTCCCCCAGCAAGGCGGTTAGGGTCACCCCATTCAACTACATACCTAGCCCCATGGCTTGCTGCCTGCAAGACGCACAGAGCCAAGAAACAACAATCAATGAGAAGTCATGTGAAAAATCTGAAGCGTAGTAGCTACTACGTAGTACCGTATGTACTTCTATACATTTGAGATAAGAAAAATCCTACTGTGTTCCTGATTGAAACTAACACTCAGGTGGATTAGTTGTGTGTATCAATCCTTTTACCTCGGGTATTGAACCTTCTTTTTCCTCACTGCATCAGAAATGTGTCTTCAACAAAGAACACCTGTCATGTCAAATCATCTGATCCCACATGCCATTCATACAAGTTGGATGTATGCATAAGACAAGACTTCAATGGATAGAATAACACTATCCTTTAGAAAGGAGTTACGGGGAGTAGCCTAATCTCATACAAAATGACATTTTTGTACTTTTTGTATTTGTATATAAACCATTGCCTGTTAGAAAAGTAGTGTAGACATGACAACATACAAAAAAAGACAGTTGTCTGTGGATTTCAAGACATACTGTACCATCATCAAAATGAAGGAAGAACCATTAATTAAAAACAATATGCAAATTATTGAGTGAAAACCCAGCTGGAAGACTGTGTTTTTGAAAAGGTACTACTATGCCTCCAAACTAATTTGAAAAAGACTGTTGAAATACATCAAAATAAGGACATAATCTCATTTATAGTATTTCTTATGTACTCACATGTTACTGCTTCGCCTTCACCACACGACTCACTACTGAGGATATAACACTGTTAGCCTTCACTTTTGAACCACTGCAGGAATTATTATTGCTAATAGTTCACGTTAAACAATCAGCACTGCTGGAACTCTGTGTTATCTGTATTCTGTCTTTAAAGCAGTATTTAAATGCGTGCAGGCATACAGTAGAACTATAAGCTATGAGCAAAAACAACTCTATTTGTTGCTCTTTACAGCATGTTAAATATACCTGTATTACACCTCTTAATATTGTAGATGTTGGGCTAAAATCAACTTCTCAGTGTTATTCTTCATTATTTAAAAAGATCAACAAAAAATAACCTGTAAACATGCATTTCTAGTCCATCTGCAATCTGGATCAAGTAGCAATGACTGACTCTATTTCGACTTAATAGCTGTAAATGCCTTTGTCTATTGAATGCTATGACATATTTGTGTTTGCCTCTAGAATCAGTTATAATCAGAGAGCAGGTAAAAGATGGTGTTAAGGTGGCTGATGGTCGTTAAGAGAGAAACAACTGTTGGGTTTTACAGAAGTGTACTCGTACAGAAATTATTCTGTAGAAGTATTTACAGAAATGTGTTAATATTCGCTTAAACGTCTCGCTGCCAGTAGTGATAGGTCAAAGAACTCAAGCATTAAGAAAATTAATATTCTCTGTAGTTGTAACATCACCTGTTCATATGTTCTCTGGTCATATGTTCTCTGAGAGATGTAACCAAGACAAAAGTGCTTGACAAAAATGAAACTAATCTGGCGTGATCCCCATGAACTTTAAGGGCTGTTTATTCTCATTAAATGTGCAATGTTGAATTGTGTCAACAAGTAACATTTCCATGTTTTACTCATGTTTTGAGTAGTGTAATGAACCAAGTCCCTTTGTCAGACTAACACTGTCACACAATGGCCATTGATAATGTATAAACAGCCCTTAAAGACAAGTAGTGAGTATGCAGTATGTAGGAAAGTTTTGTCAAAGACGAAGACAGTATTCTTGAAAGTTTTGTCCTTACAAATGAAATGTTGTATACTGTATGTTACGAATCGGATTAAAATGTCCAAGGTCGTCCACCATGAATGTCATATGCCTTGTTTACACCTGGCATTACATTACTTAAAGTTAGATTCAATGCTTGAAAGCACCGGAATGATTTGCAAACTGGTTGTGAACGAGTCTAGTGAAATCACCTCCAAAGGTGGAATATAAAGCTGATTTGCATCGGCCTTGGAACTGGAATATTGTAGCGGTTTCCTGTGAAGAAAACGGTCATTTTGATATTACCCACTTTGCTACAACTAGGATAAATGAAGTTGGACCACTGGATGAAGGGAAGGAGGATTATAACTAATCAGATATGGGGGACAAGAAATCTCATGCCAGGTGTGAACAGAGCAATAGGCGGCAAATGGTACAATGTGATATAGGCCAAGGAATGAAAGTCATCATAATAAATGTTCTCATCAAATAAATTGTGGACGCGTTTCATTAACCTGGCTGACTTAAACCTTTATTCGACTTTTTCTTGAATATATCAAAACAATAAAATGTGCTTTCAATTATATCGACTTAACATGCACTCATGCCAATGAAATGTGGACATACTGACCGTTTTATGAGCTAATCGAGATATAAACAAATGTACTTCTACACTGACATTTATTTCATCCTGGCATTAATTTCATAATGACCTTTAAGTTTTAAAAAAAGATCACATGAACTAGATATTATCAAATGGCTTGATATTCATATGACCCATGTAGCTTAACTCCTGCCTGACCCTCGATCCATGCACATAAAGTCAGTGTGGTTTAACATGAAAAAACAAGTAATATTTCTTCACAAATCATTATTTTATTAATATTCATTATAGAAAATCTAGAAATGTAGACAATACACATAATTTGTTTGACCATTTGTGAAAAGTCACACCAATTTATGGAGACAATTTTAATGCCAACAATTATTTGGAACAACAATGAACTGACAATGTACAATCAATCTGTTGAGTTCCATTTCCATTTCTGAGACCCTCCTCTGTGAGACTGAGGTGGTGTGACTCAAGGAATGCCAAGTTCGCTGCTGATGAATCTGTTTTAGCTGAGGTAAGGTGCTCCACCAGCCCTGAGGTAAGGTGCTCCCCCAGCCCTGAGGTAAGGTGCTCCCCCAGCCCTGAGGTAAGGTGCTCCCCCAGCCCTGAGGTGTGATGCCTCATGGAGAAGATAATGGTTAGAGGGCTTTTCCTTTGACCTCGGCCACACTGATCCCCAACTGCTCTCCGGCTGTCCGGAGTTCCTCCCTCCGTTGCACAAGATCACCTCTGACCTCTTGAAGCCGCTCGTTCATCTCCAAGTACCTGCAGCTCTGAAGGTACTTTGTCTCCACGTCATTGTCTGATGACCCCCTCTTGGCATCTGTGGAAGGGGGAAATCCTGTTTAGTTCAATAGGTTTCCTAAAAATCAAGTAGACCATTTGCTAAAAGCTCAAAATTGTATGCTCTCCCTCATAACATTACATGTGAAATAAAGTGAAGGGTGTCTGCTTGAATTCACTTAGTAATAGGCAGGTTACCAATGTCAATTAATAGACTACGTGTCGTCTATTTGACTGATGTACAGTAGCTAAATGTGCATAGTGCATACCTTGGTTGGCATCCTCCAAGACCCTGAAGACTGGATCATTCTGAAAGGCTCTGTTGATGTCCTCAAGAATTTGATCCACAGTGGGCGGATCTGGTCGACTAGGAAGCACCACTCGCTTCTTATTTTTAGCACCCATGCTGATATTCATTCTGCAGAACCAAAATGCGGACTTTCTGGAATAATGGCACCGTGGAGGAGTATGTCCTAGCTAGCCAGCTATATGTCCAATTAGCTATTTTAGCTAGCTAAGAGTCCTAGCTAGCTACTGGTGTCTGTCTACACCTGTCAAATGTCCTAAGCAAGCCAGTGATGGTGTTATGGGGTCTCCTAAACTTGCCACTTCTCTGTTGGTAGCTAGCTGAATACTTTCTACGGTGCAATTTCACCAAGCTGTCTTACAAACGTTTAGAACTGTGCATACAACATAACTTCAACAAAATCAATATGCAAAACCAAAACAACTGATTGTGCGGGTGCGTGAACATGAGGTTGTCACGTCATTTGTGTGAGACAGGCACGTCTTTACGCACTTACGTTATATTCTTTGTTAACCTTGTTTACTATGTTTTTAATCGTATGTTTTCATCAATTCAAAAATACATATCTGTTGAATAATACATCAAATTGTATGTACTTATTGCCCACACGCAATTTAGAAGCCGTTTTTCATTGCTGTTGAGGCATTGATGATGACGACCAATAGAGGGCACTCTCCTCTAAAATGCATTGTTCCGTTGCTCCATGCCAAAGAATCTGTGATCATGTTGATGATAAGCAACATAGACAGTAAAAAACACACTGAATAAGAGGACACTTTTATTCATACACAGGTGGTACAACTTTGTGCTTTTGAGAGTACAACATATGTACATGTATAATAATAATAATAATAATAATAATAATAATAATAATAATGGAATGTTAATGAAATAACTTATTGCATAGCTAACTCATAACTACCAAAAGTAGCACTTCCTCTGTTTCTCATTCCCTTTAAATGATTGGTTAAATACATTGTACTAGTATTTACCATTGGAAAAATATCTCACTAGGATTCCAAGACCCACTGCATTAAAATCTAACTTACAGTAGAGGTATGTGGCAATTTCCTTTTAATACAGCCTAGATCTGACTAAAATACAACTTTACAAGACAAAAAGAGAGAAACAAAAGACAACAATAAATAAATATTCCATTCAGCACGATGAAGTCTGTGAAAACAAAAACAAAGAAGTCTAAGACTAGAACACTGTGGGCTATTTTTGAAGCGTTGAGCCCACACACTCCCTCATCGGAGGACAAGGACATTGATTGTAAAGCAAAGACATACAAGTCAAATTCCATTACTCTAATCAGGTGATGAGATGGTCAAAATATCAGACATTGCATTGCATTCAATTGACCAGACACACGGCCACGCGATCACGCGACTGTGAAGTGATTTTCAGCTGCGATGGTTTTGGTCGATATGAAGCAGCAGCATTTTAACTTGGTTATGTTTTTTTCCTGTCCCGTTATCTGTCTGTGTAATGGTATCCCATCTCTGTCAGACTTGTTTCATCGTTTTCCCACCATAGGACATCAAGTATAAGTGGTTCAGCAGTTTGCAAGTCAACATGGAAACCAAAGTCCTTCCGGTGATTCTGGCATGGTTTGGTTTGCTGTCTTCAGTACCATCACAAACATGTCGTGGTTGGATGCCTCTACCTGTGGGTCTGTAAATATAATGAAATACACTTGCTCATAGTTCACTCAAAGTTGCTCATAGTTCACAAAATCTAATTTTGTAAGATACTTTCAAATCCCAAAGGTAGTTTTATGTCGAAAGTAGACCATGCCTATATCTGTATTATACATTTGGGATTGAGGCATAGCTGGGTCTACACAATGATGGCATGGGACATGGACTCATATCCACATCCATGTAAGACAACATTGGAAGTCTGAAAACAACTGACAAACTTTGGATTGAACTATGCCTTTAATAGGTTAGAGCATTTGGTTAATGCAATTAGTAATCTATCTATGCCACCAGATCCAGCCACTGCCGTTGTGGTTGACCAGGTGAATACAGTGAGTGATCCTGTGCACAGTATCACTGTGTGTCACTTACCATTAGTCTACTTTGGGTTCATTGTATATCAACTCATTGATCATCTTATGAACAGACATGGAATAAGACCAGACAAGACAATGAGGAGGAATTATTTTCAAAAGAGCTTTACAACCATGTTATGAAAGGGAAACAAAGCAGTGGGAAGCATAGGTTTAGCATCATTAAAATATTGGCAAATTGGCCGATGGTCGACTACCTCTTTTCACAGCTCAGGTAATGCCTGTTGAAGTGGTTCTAGATAAGACCCTGAAGAGGGAATCCTGGGAGAAGCTTTAAACCAGACGTGTTCTTCACAAGCGGGATTTGCTGATTTATATCCTTCTTTTCTTTCTTCAGAAAACAGCCCTCAAATCCAGACCTCACCATCTGGTTGCTGTGCTAAAATCTCTGACAAACCATATTTGAAAGCTTATTTTGTGTTGAGGCTGTGCTTGCTACTGCATTTCCTTCAACAAGGCACTCACAAAACTGAATGTACAATAGACCCATATTCAAGGCTTGCAGAAAGAGAAAAATACTCATGGCAGCATTATCAGTATCCATTGTCCACAGAGGAGAGGGATTAGTTAGTTAGCACCCCCATTAACTTCTGCACGTCTCTACAGAGGAACCACTCAGGAACGATCACACCAACAACATTTACCAGCCGAAGGGGACAAAATAGTGGTTCCACCGTGTGAGTGAGAGGCTTGACACTTGCGCCATACAATGACAAGCACTTTCAATAGTGTTTTGACTTTCAATCCCACCTGGTGTTTTCATCTTCTGTTTTTGACAAATAATAGCAATCAAATGGGATATACAAATTAAGATTTTCTACTGCTATGTTCATTAAGGGATTGACAAGTGACTAGAATGAAGGAGTGGTTTGCATAAGTGTTCAGGTGGGCCTCTGTGCTTCAGCAAACAAAGGAAAGGAGGGGTGCTCAACAAAAATGACAAAAATCATGAAAAGGGGGCTTACCAAGAAAAACTTCCTAAAGGACTAAGGGCCTATTCTAATTGAAGTGACTTGGAGTGGAGATATTGGGACGATTTTTCAATTTAGATAATATGTACATAAGCTTATCAATTCACATTAGCAATGGGAGTGTCACAAGCCAAGAAAGGGAACCATTGTTCAGGATGAGATCAGTCACCTTTATGCTCATCCTGAACAACGGGTAAAGTGAGCTAATAATAAATCAATCTCTTGTTGAGTGCTCCAATTCCTTTCTGCCTCGAATTAGTCCTTTTGGAGGTTTTTCTTCGTAAGCTCTTTTCATGATCTAAGCGAAACAACTCACAGGCACATCTAACTTGCAAGCAAACTAATAGTGGGACTATGCTAGCTGAGCTGGAGGGGTGTTAGGGAGTAACTAGGGGCCAAGGAAATAAAGTAATAATGAGTTTGTTACGGAAATAAACAGTTTGTTTTACATACAGGTGAATCTGATGTGCTGGGTAAGACTTTGGCCTCTGATGCTTGTTGTATAGTGTTGTTTTTCACCAGTGTTTGAAGGACTGAGGCCAGACAGGAAAGAGAGAAAGAGACATGCAAACAAAGTGACATAAAGGTTCCTTCAGAAACAAGTGAGCAATCTATGCACATGATATTGCAAAAGCAATTGAAAAAATTGTATACAAACAATCAAGGCTGAAACACACACACACACACACGTGCGCACGCACGCACACACAACAGAATTAAACGGATCGCAATATTTAGGCTAATTAGATTGTTCCGTATACTTTACATTATTCTTACAGTAAGTATGCATTCTTTCAACAGGTTACCTCTTATAGCTAGATCTATTTATATCAGCTGACCTGGTTCCTGCCATCCTTTCGTCTACCTGTCATAAGCTGTCGATGACCTCAGCCGACAATGTTAATCCCTGCTAGACCATTTGCCAGTAGCCTACAGCACATTGATTCTATCCTCATTGTTTACACACAGCTCTCTAATATGATTTATACTGTGGAATACCAAGTTACTTAGGGACTGCAGAGAGAAAATAGCTATGTAGCTAAATATGGTGCAATATATTGGGCAGGCTTTTAAATGCACTGCTAACTGATACAATCCGTTGTCATTAGCATTTCTACATTCTCCAAACATGCTAGCCACGAGTTTCTGGAAGTTGGTTAATAACCAGCTAGCAAATTTAAAAACAGTTTTGGAAGAAACGACAACACCCTAAACAACTCACAGGCACATCTAACTTGCAAGCAAACTAATAGTGGGACTATGCTAGCTGAGCTGGAGGGGTGTTAGGGAGTAACTAGGGGCCAAGGAAATAAAGTAATAATGAGTTTGTTACGGAAATAAACCGTTTGTTTTACATACAGGTGAATCTGATGTGCTGGGTAAGACTTTGGCCTCTGATGTGTGTGTCAAACATCTGCCCCGTGGGCGTTTGTGCAGAAAATAATAATAGTAATAATAATTGGAACAGTGGAGGCTCCTCAGAGGAGGAAGGGGAGGACCATCCTCCTCAGTGAATTTCAGAAAAATATCAATAGTGAAACATTAAAAAAGTTATCATTTTTAGATCAAACTATACAAAATATATTCACGTCACCAAATAATTGATTAAAACACACTGTTTTGCCAAGAAGGTCTACAGAAGCCTCAGCAGCACTCTGTAGGGTAGCACCATGGTGTAGCCGGAGGACAGCTAGCTTCTGTCCTCCTCTGGGTACATTGACTTCAATACAAAACCTAGGAGGCTCATGGTTCTCACCCACTTCCATAGACTTACACAGTAAAAAAACTTCCGGAGGACGTCCTCCAACCTATCAGAGCATGAACTGACATGTTGTCCACCCAATCAAAAGATCAGATAATGAATCTACCACTGAAAGCATAAGCTACAGCTAATATGGTGAGTAGTTGACTCAAACAGAGAGAAAGACAATAGTTGAACAGTTTTTAACAAATTAATTTCTTCCAAAATAAAGGACAAGCAGCAGAGAGATGGAGCTAGCTACAATATATTTGGTTGTATTTATTTTTACTTTCACTTTCACTTAGCTAGCAAATGCAGCTAGCTAGTTTAGCCTATTCCAACACGCGGCTCAAACAGAGAGGGATCCTATGTTAGCTAGCTGGCTATGGCTATCCAACACTGGAACTCTTCTAAGTCAAGGTAAGCTTTTGGTTTTATTAATTTATTGCCATCGGGGCCCGCCAGTGTAACTGCTAAACTGTTTTCTGACTGTACACTGTACTGCATGATTGTAGTGGGTTTACTAACGTGATAGTTCTAGTAGTTCTAGTTGACTATGATGCGACAACGATGTAGGCTGTTTGTCGCGATTAGCGGTCATGATATGAAGGTTTGGTTTGGAGAAGGTTTTTTCGCCTGGTCACAGACAGCTGATGTGTCGTGCACTGCGAAGGGAAAAGATGAGAGGAGGAGAGCGCGTAGATAGTTGCGAGAAGGAATTATATATACAACGAGCAAAGTGATCATGCTGTTTTTATGTGGCTGCTATGAAAGTGAACTGCGTGTGATCAAGGGTGTATTCATTCCGCCGATTCTGTTGAAAAATGTTTCTTAAACAGAAGCAAGCGGAACAAAATGGGGATAAACATACCTGAATTTGTCCAATAGAAACGCTCATTTGCAACTGTTGGACTAATGTTTACACCCTAGATTAACTAGATGTGTCACGACTTCCTCCGAGGCTGCCTCCTCTCCTTGTTCGGGCAGGCTTCGGCGTTCGTCGTCACCGGCCTTCTAGCCACTGCCGCTCCTCATCTCATCATTCCATTTGTTTTGTCTTGTTTATTACACAGACCTGGTTCATATCACCTCATCAGTACCTGTATACATGTTCCCTCTGCCCCCTTGTCTTTGTGTGTGATTGTTTATTGTGGAGGAGAGAGAAGCTCGGTGGAGCTCCGTGTAATTTGTATCGGTGGGAATATTCCCTGTGTGCCTTGTATTTTCCAGTGCGCCTGTTTTGCGCACTGGAGTGTTTTTACATATTACTGCGTAACTCTGTGGTTCAGAATAAATCCAGTTATTCTGTGATTTACCCTCCTGCGCCTGACTCCTTCAAAATCACCTCATCACAAGATGCAGGCAAGAGTATGCAAGGCGGTGTTGAATGTGTCACTTTCTGTCAACTTGATTACTGAAAATTATCTCGACCTGTGCACCTACGTTGTAAACTTTCATTCATAGGCTAGGTTGTAGCAACCTCATGATGGGTACAGGGTAAATTCGAGGATCATGTAGTAGCCTAACCTATCGATGTTACATTGAGCTGGGTGAATGGAATATGAATGACAGTCATCCAATATGTCCCGTGTAGCTCAGTTGGTAGAGCATGGCACTTGCAACGCCAGGGTTGTGGGTTCGATTCCCACGGGGAGCCAGTATGAAAAAACAAATTATGCACTCACTAACTGTAAGTCACTCTGGATAAGAGTGTCTGCTAAATGACTAAAATGTAAATGTAATAGAAATAAGGCCATGCTCATAAAAAAAATTATCCTCCCTCATTTTAAAAGGCACCGACCGCCACTGAATTTGAATATTTTCTTTGGGGACACAAATATTAATTTTCACAAAGTCTGCTGCCTCAGTTTTTAAGATTGCAATTGGCATATACTACAGAATGTTATGAAGAGTGATCAGATGAATTGCAATTAATTGCAAAGTCCCTCTTTGCCATGAAAATGAATTTAATCCCATAAAAACATTTCCACTGCATTTCAGCCCTGCCACAAAAGGACCAGCTGACATCATGTCAGTGATTCTCTCGTTAATACAGGTGAGAGTGTCACGCCCTGGCTCTGGGGACTCTTTAATGTTGAGCCAGGGTGTGTAGTGTCTATGTTGTAATTTCTATGTTTGGTTCTAGTTCGTGTTTTCTATGTTGGCCAGGGTGGTTCCCAATCAGAGGCAGCTGATTCCCGTTGTCTCTGATTGGGAACCATACTTAGGCAGCCGGTTGGCACTAGTTTATTGTGGGATCTTGTTCTGCATAGGTTTGTGTTGGTGAACCTGTAGACTTCACGTATCGTTTGTTGTTTTGTTATTGGCATAAAGTACTCATTAAAAGATGTACGCATATCACGCTGCGCCTTGGTCCGCTTCTTATGACGATCGTGACAGAAGATCCCAACCAAAAGAGGACCAAGCAGCGTGTCCAGGAGCAAACGCCGGAGGTTACGTTAGTAGATGTCCTCCTCGGTTGGGGGAGAATCACGGAGGAGGAGGCCGTCCGTTACCGGAGGGCGATGAATGAAAATGCCCAGGCAGGAGAGGAGAAACGGCGCCAACCGTGCCAACGACGGACACCCGAGAGGCAACCCCAATAAATTATTTTGGGGGGGCACACGGCGTGGACGACGGGGCAGCAGGAGGCAGCGACAGGGCGTATCTGCAGACTAGGAGAGGAGGCCACCAGGTTACGGGGGCTATTGGTCCAGAGGGAGCAGGAGTTAATTGGTCAGAGGGAGGAGCTACAGGAGGCGTTAAGGGAGAAGGAGAGTGTAGAGGCACGGCGAGAGGAACTGAGTAGGCAGCAGAGGGAGCGGAGGTTTATGAGGAAACCCAGTCCCGCTCCTCGCACCAAGCAAGTGGTGTGTGTCACCAGTCCGGTCCGGCCCGTTCCTGATCCCCGCACTAAGCCAGTGGTGCGAGTTCCCAGTATGGCTCAACCCATTCCTGCTTCCCGCACAAGGCCAGTGGTGTGTGTTCCCAGTATGGTCCGGCCCGTTCCTGCTCCCCGCACTAAGTTAGTGGTGCATGTTCCCAGTACGGCCCGACCCGTTCCTTCTCCTCGCACTAAGCCAGTGGTGCGTGTTCCCAGTCCGGCCCGGCCCGTTCCTGCTCCCCGCACCAAGCCAGTGGTGCGTATCCACAGTCCGGCCCGGCCCGTTCCGGCTCCCCGCACCAAGCCAATGGTGCGTGTTCCCAGTCCGGCCCGGCCTGTTCCTGCTCCCCGCACCAAGCCAATGGTGCGTGTTCCCAGTCCGGCCCGGCCCGTTCCGGCTCCCCGCACCAAGCCAATGGTGCGTGTTCCCAGTCCAGCCCGGCCCGTCCCTGCTCCCCGCACCAAGCCTATGGTGCGTGTTCCCAGTCCAGCCCGGCCTGTTCCTGCTCCCCGCACCAAGCCAGTGGTGCGCGTCGCCAGCCCGGTCCGGCCTGTTCCTGCTCCCCGCACCAAGCCAGTGGTGCGCGTCGCCAGCCCGGTCCGGCCTGTTCCTGCTCCCCGCACCAAGCCAGTGGTGCGCGTCGCCAGCCCGGTCCGGCCTGTTCCTGCTCCCCGCACCAAGCCAGTGGTGCGCTTCGCCAGCCCGGTCCGGCCTGTTCCTGTTCCCCGCACCAAGCCCGTAGTGCGCGTCGCCAGCCCGGTCCGGCCTGTTCCTGCTCCCCGCACCAAGCCAGTGGTGCGCGTCGCCAGCCCGGTCCGGCCTGTTCCTGCTCCCCGCACCAAGCCAGTGGTGCGCGTCGCCAGCCCGGTCCGGCCCGTTCCTGCTCCCCGCACCAAGCCAGTGGTGTGCGTCGCCAGCCCGGTCCGGCCCGTTCCTGCTCCCCGCACCAGGACAGTGGTGCGCGTCGTCAGTCCGGCACGGTCCGTGCCTGTTCCACCGGTGCCTGGTCCGGCACCGGTCAGCTGCTCCACACCGGAGCCAGAGCAATCCGCTCCACCGATGTCCAGTCCAGCTCCGGCCAGCGGGGCCAGACCAGACATGGGGCGCTACGGGGGGGTAGAGAGAGAGTGGCCTCCGAGGCGGAATGCCCACCCAGCCCCTACCATCTTGTGTTTGGTTGGCGCGGTCGCAGTCCGCGCCTTTGGGGGGGGGGTACTGTCACGCCCTGGCTCTGGGGACTCTTATATGTTGAGCCAGGGTGTGGATTTTCTATGTGTTATTTTCTATGTTTTGTTCTAGTTCATGTATTTCTATGTTAGCCAGGGTGGTTCCCAATCAGAGGCAGCTGTTGCTTGTTGTCTCTGATTGGGGACCATACTTAGGCAGCCTGTTTGGCACTGTTTTTTGTGGGATCTTGTTCCGGAAGGTTTGTGTTTAACCCAGGACTTCACGTATCGTTTGTTTTGTTGTTTTGGTTCGTGTTGTTGTACATTTAATAAAGTATATACGCCTATCACGCTGCGCCTTGGTCCGCTGTTTATAACGATCGTGACAGAGAGTGTTGATGAGGACAAGGCTGGAGATCACTCTGTCATGCTGATTGAGTTAGAATAACAGACTGGAAGCTTTAAAAGGAGGGTGGTGCTTGAAATCATTGTTCTTCCTCTGTTAACCATGGTTACCTGCAAGGAAACACGTGCCGTCATCATTGCTTTGCACAAAAGGGGCTTCACAGGCAAGGATATTGCTGCTAGTAAAATTGCACCTAAATCAACCATTTATCGGATCATCAAGAACTTCAAGGAGAGAGGTTCAATTGTTGTGAAGAAGGCTTCAGGGCGCCCAAGAAAGTCCTGTAAGTGCCAGGACCGTCTCCTGAAGTTGATTCAGCTGCGGGATCGGGGAACCACCAGTGCAGAACTTGCTCAAAATGGCAGCAGGCAGGTGTGAGTGCATCTGCACGCACAGTGAGGGGAAGACTTTTGGAGGATGGCCTGGTGTCAAGAAGGGCAGAGAGGAAGCCACTTCTCTCCAGGAAAAACATCAGGGACAGACTGATATTCTGCAAAAGGTACATGGATTGGACTGCTGAGGACTGGGGTAAAGTCATTTTCTCTGATGAATCCCCTTTCCGATTGATTGGGGCATCCGGAAAAAAGCTTGTCCGGAGAAGACAAGATGAGCGCTACCATCAGTTCTGTGTCATGCCAACAGTAAAGCATCCTGAGACCATTCATGTGTGGGGTTGCTTCTCAGCCAAGGGAGTGGGCTCACTCACAATTTTGCTTAAGAACACAGCCATGAATAAAGAATCGTACCAACACATCCTCCGAGAGCAACTTCTCCCAACCATCCAAGAACAGTTTGGTGACGAACAATGCCTTTTCCAGCATGATGGAGCACCTTGCCATAAGGCAAAAGTGATAACTAAGTGGCTCGGGGAACAAAACATCGAAATTTTGGGTCCATGGCCAGGAAACTCCCCAGACCTTAATCCCATTGAGAACTTGTGGTCAATCCTCAAGAGGCGGGTGGACAAACAAAAACCACAAATTCTGACAAACTCCAAGCATTGATTATGCAAGAATGGGCTGCCATCAGTCAGGATGTGGCCCAGAAGTTAATTGACAGCATGCCAGGGCGGATTGCAGAGGTCTTGAAAAAGAAGGGTCAACACTGCAAATATTGACTCTTTGCATAAACTTAATGTAATTGTCAATAAAAGTTTTGCACTTATGGAATGTTTGTAATTATACTTCAGTATACCATAGTAACATCTGACAAAAATATCTAAAAACACTGAAGCAGCAAACTTTGTGAAGACCAATACTTGTGTCATTCTCAAAACGTTTTACCACGACTGTACTTTAAAATGACTAAAACCAAATAGAAACTCTAGAAATGATAATGGACCTACATTCATACATTTCTTGACTGTGTCCAGCTTGCTAATAATCACATAAATGAAAGCTAGAGAGTCAGGGAGCATAGACAATTCTGAAAACGATATATAGAGGACACTTTTCTGCCAATTTGGACAGCAAGGAAATATAACACATTTTCAGTACGGCCACCGGACCTTATTAAAGACTGAATACGGCCCCCGGGCAAAATGAGTTTAACACCCCTGGGGAGTCGAAAATAAGCTAATCCTTCAACAGAGTGAAATATCACTTTGAGATGTACATGTGGTGCAATGGGGCTAGGAGCTAGCAGTTTCTGGACTGGGACGTCGGTAGCCTCTGTACCTTCTCTGGTGACGGACTCGGCTGCGTTCATGGCCTTCCCGCTGAGGTCATTGACCATGCTGTCCACAGTGGCCTCGTGCTTGAGGAAGAAGGGTCGCACCACCCGGTTGTACAGGATCTGAGAGCCATTCCATTTGACGGGGCCATGCACCACAACAAGAACAGGTACTGGGAAAGAGGGAGGGAAAAACAGGAATATCAGTGACACGTTGAAGGGCAGTACATACTGTAGGAACGACATAAGCAAAGCATGAGTCCTCCATGAGCATAATAAACCATGAATACATGTGTTTGACGACAGGTATTTAACAGCATACCCAGAATTTGTTGACAGGAACGTATGAATTGTATGTATAGCTAGCTTATAATGGCTTGTTAATTGCTTATTAATGTGTTATATGCCATATTCCGTAGCCTATAGTGATCTTGAATTAAAGTGTAATTGTAAGGTCAGTGGTTGGTCGCAATGAGTGAGTTGAAGCAGTTTTTGGTTAGAACATAGGGCACACAGATAGTGTCTTTCTGTGTAATATAAATCTGATGCTCTCCTTACCTTGAAAGCATAGTAGAAAGGAAACCAATAAAGGAAGATGTCAGAGAAGAATTCCCCCACACTGAAGATTCCATAGACCACCCAATAGGTCAGCCATTTTGTGTCATCATCTTTGTTTGTGCCCTCGATGGCTTTGATTCTACATGGAAGAGTGGAAACATTAACCAAGATTACATAAGCCTACTTGAGGCAAGGTACTACATAACATAACATGGCAATACATACACGGTCTGGCTAATAAATAATACTATCAGGCCCTTATACTGTCCTGGGCACAGATTCACAAAACCTTCTTAAGAAGAGATTTCTTCTTAACTGCCATTTTTTACATAACTATATACTTAATAAGAATGTTAAGCAAAGTTGCTATTCCTCAAAAAGGTTATTGGAAATGTTCTTGAGCAATGTCTTATGTTTCTCCATAAGCAAAAAGTTAAGAAGACATTAGATTATTGAAAAAAAGGTTATTGGAAATGTTCTTAATTCCAAGACAGCTAAACCCTTGTCTTAAACTCAGGGCAGTGAGAGATAAAGCTCATGAAAGCAATTGAACATGTTCCTTTATAATAATTCTAGGTAGTTGCTGTAGTGTACATTAGAAGTAGATGTACAGTACCAGTCAAAAGTTTGGACACAACTACTCATTCCAGGGTTTTTATTTATTTTTACTATTTTCTACATTGTAGAATAATAGTGAAGACATCAAAACTATGAAATAACACATATGGAATCATGTAGTAACCAGAAATGTGTTAAACAAATCTAAATATATTTTATAATTGAGATTCTTCAAAGTAGCCACCCTTTGCCTTGATGACAGCTTTGCACACTCCTAGCATTCTCTCAACCAGCTTCATGATGTAGTCACCTGGAATGCACTTCAATTAACAGGTGTGCCTTCTTAAAAGTTAATTTGTGGAATTCCTTTCCTTCTTAATGCATTTGAGCCAATCAGTTGTGTTGTGACAAGGTAGGGGTGGTATACAGAAGATAGCCCTATTTGGTAAAAGACCAAGTCCATATTATGGCAAGAACAGCTCAAATAAGCAAAGAGAAACGACAATCCATCATCATTTTAAGACATGAAGGTCAGTCAATACGGAAAATTTCAAGAACATTGAAAGACGCAAAAACCATCAAGCGTTCTCCCGAGTGGCGCAGTGGTCTAAGGCACTGCATCGCAGTGCTAGCTGTGCCACTAGAGATCCTGGTTCGAATCCAGGCTCTGTCGTAGCCGGCCGCGACCGGGAGACCCATGGGGCGGCAATTGGCCCAGCGTCGTCCAGGGTAGGGGAGGGAATGGCCGGCAGGGATGTAGCTCAGTTGGTAGAGCATGGCGTTTGCAATGCCAGGGTTGTGGGTTCGTTTCCCATGGGGGGCCAGTATGAAACAAAAAATATAATAATAATAATGTATGCACTCACTAACTGTAAGTCGCTCTGGATAAGAGCGTCTGCTAAATGACTAAAATGTCAATGTAAGCGCTATGATGAAACTGGCTCTCATGAGGACCACCACAGGAAAGGAAGACCCAGAGTTACCTCTGCTGCAGAGGAACAAGTTCATTAGAGTTAACTGCACCTCAGATTGCAGCCCAAATAAATGCTTCACAGAGTTCAAGTAACAGACAAATCTCAACATCAACTGTTCAGAAGAGACTGCGTGAATCAGGCCTTCATGGTCGAATTGCTGCAAAGAAACCACTACTAAAGGACACCAATAAGAACAATAGACCTGCTTGGGCCAAGAAACACATGCAATAGACATTAGACCAGTGGAAATCTGTCCTTTGGTCTGATGAGACCAAATTTGAGATTTTTGGTTCCAACCGCCATGTCTTTATGAGACGCAGATTAGTTGAACGGATGATCTCTGCATGTGTGGTTCCCACCGTGAACCATGGAGGAGGAGGTTTGATGGTGTGGGGGTGTTTTGCTGGTGACACTGTCAGAGATTTATTTAGAATTCAAGGCACACTTAACAAGCATCGCTACCACAGCATTCTGCAGCGATACGCCATCCCATCTGGTTTGCGCTTACTGGGACTATCATTTGTTTTTCAACAGGACAATGACCCAAAACACACCTCCAGGCTGTGTAAGGGCTATTTGACCAAGAAGGAGCGTGATGGAGTGCTGCATCAGATGACCTTGCCTCCACAATCACCCGACCTCAACCCAATTGAGATGGTTTGGGAAGAGTTGGACCACAGCGTGAAGGAAGAGCAGCCAACAAGTGCTCAGCATATGTGGGAACTCCTTCAAGACTGTTGGATAAGCATTCCTCATGAATCTAGTTGACAGAATGCCAAGAGTGTGCAAAGCTGTCATCAAGGCAAAGGTTGGCTACTTTGAAGAATCTCAAATATAAAATCTATTCTGATTTGTTTAACACTTTTTTGGTTACTACATGATTCCATATGTGTTATTTCATAGTTTTGATTACTTCACTATTATTCTACTACAGTGGGGAAAAAAAGTATTTAGTCAGCCACCAATTGTGCAAGTTCTCCCACTTAAAAAGATGAGAGAGGCCTGTAATTTTTATCATAGGTACACGTCAACTATGACAGACAAAATGAGGGAAAAAAATCCAGAAAATCACATTGTAGGATTTTTAATGAATTTATTTGCAAATTATGGTGGAAAATAAGTATTTGGTCACCTACAAACAAGCAAGATTTCTGGCTCTCACAGACCTGTAACTTCTTCTTTAAGAGGCTCATCTGTCCTCCACTCGTTACCTGTATTAATGGCACCTGTTTGAACTTGTTATCAGTATAAAAGACACCTGTCCACAACCTCAAACAGTCACACTCCAAACTCCACTATGACCAAGACCAAAGAGCTGTCAAAGGATGCCAGAAACAAAATTGTAGACCTGCAACAGGCTGGGAAGACTGAATCTGCAATAGGTAAGCAGCTTGGTTTGAATAAATCAACTGTGGGAGCAATTATTAGGAAATGGAAGACATACAAGACCACTGATAATCTTCTCGATCTGGGGCTCCACGCAAGATCTGACCCCGTGGGGTCAAAATGATCACAAGAACGGTGAGCAAAAATCCTAGAACCACACGGGGGGACCTAGTGAATGACCTGCAGAGAGCTGGGACCAAAGTAACAAAGCCTATCATCAGTAACACACTACGCCGCCAGGGACTCAAATCCTGCAGTGCCAGACGTGTCCCCCTGCTTAAGCCAGTACATGTCCAGGCCCATCTGAAGTTTGCTAGAGTGCATTTGGATGATCCAGAAGAGGATTGGGAGAATGTCATATGGTCAGATGAAACCAAAATAGAACTTTTTGGTAAAAACTCAACTCGTCGTCTTTGGAGGACAAATAATTCTGAGTTGCATCCAAAGAACACCATACCTACTGTGAAGCATGGGGGTGGAAACATCATGCTTTGGGGCTGTTTTTCTGCAAAGGGACCAGGACGACTGATCCGTGTAAAGGAAAGAATGAATGGGGCCATGTATCGTGAGATTTTGAGTGAAAACCTCCTTCCATCAGCAAGGGCATTGAAGATTAAACGTGGCTGGGTCTTTCAGCATGACAATGATCCCAAACACACCGCCCGGGCATCGAAGGAGTGGCTTCGTAAGAAGCATTTCAAGGTCCTGGAGTGGCCTAGCCAGTCTCCAGATCTCAACCTCATAGAAAATCTTTGGAGGGAGTTGAAAGTCTGTGTTGCCCAGCGACAGCCCCAAAACATCACTGCTCTAGAGGAGATCTGCATGGAGGAATGGGCCAAAATACCAGCAACAGTGTGTGAAAACCTTGTGACGACTTACAGAAAACGTTTGACCTGTGTCATTGCCAACAAAGGGTATATAACAAAGTATTGAGAAACTTTTGTTATTGACCAAATACTTATTTTCCACCATAATTTGCAAATAAATTCATTAAAAATCCTACAATGTGATTTTCTGGATTTTTTTCCTCATTTTGTCTGCCATAGTTGACGTGTACCTATGATGAAAATTACAGGCCTCTCTCATCTTTTTAAGTGGGAGAACTTGCACAATTGGTGGCTGACTAAATACTTTTTTCCCCCACTGTATGTAGAAAATAGTAAAAATAAAGAAAAACCCTTGAATGAGTAGGTGTGTCCAAACTTTTGACTGGTACTAAACATAAAGACATACAGTTTTAAGTTAATGCAAAATACATTTAACATTAAAGCTAGTTTTCTACTGTACTTACGAGTAATAAGCAGGATACACAAAACCAATCATGTTACAGAGGAGGGAGGCGCCATAGCCGTATATCAAATACAGTCCTGTCAGAGACACTGCACCTGTCGAGAACAGAAAAGACATGACGAGAGGTCAAACTTTATACTGCACAAATATCCTAATCAAGCATTGCACTGCTATTCAGTGGTGTAAAATACTTCGGTACAAATACTTTAAAGTACTACTTAAGTTGTTTTTTGGGGTATCTGTATTTTACTATTTATATTTTTGCCAACTTTTACTTTTACTTCACTACATTCCTAAAGAAAATAATGTACTTTATACTCCATTCATTTTCCCTGACACCCAAAAGTACTTGTTACATTTTGAATGCTTAGCAGGACAGGAAAATGGTCCAATTCACACACTTATCAAGAGAACATCCCTGGTCATCCCTACTGCCTCTGATCTGGCGGATTCACTAAACACAAATGCTTCATTTGTAAATGATGTCTGAGTGTTGGTGTGTGCCCCTGGCTATCTGTCAATTAAAATTAAAATTAAAATTGTGTGCCCTCTGGTTTGCTTAATATAAGGAATTTGAAATGGTTTCTACTTTCACTTTTACTTTTGATACTTAAGTACATTTTAACAATTCCATTTACTTTTGATACTTAAGTATATTTAAAACCAAATACTTTTTGACTTTTACTCAAGTAATATTTTACTGGGTGACTTTCACTTTTACTTGAGTCGTTTTCTATTAAGGTATCTTTACTTTTACTCAAGTATGACAATTGAGTACTTTTTCCACCACTGCTGCTACTTCATGAGAATGTAAATAGTCTAACTGAAATGATGAGAAGAGTCTCAAAAGCTGTTATTGACTCATGGTAAATGATTTACAGAACTGTAGAATGCCATGCAAAATGCATAGCTGTCTTGATAGCAATGCATAACTGACACATACATACATCGGCCTACTCTCATATTTAGGTCTACAGGAGGCTACAGTTGTTTTTGCAACCTGGTGTCAGAGCATTTCATATTATTCAGTATGTAAATGAGCCATACCACATTTAGTATGATATATTATGTTTCGTATGGTATGTATTAATTTGTGGATGTCCATCACCCATTTCGTTTGATTTGTTACCAATTACAATTTGTATTATACAGTGCATTTGGAAAGTATTCAAACCCCTTCACTTTTCCCACATTTTGTTACGTTACAGCCTTATTCTAAAATGGATTAAATAAATAAAAAATCCTCATCAATCTACACATAATACCCCATAATGACAAAGTGAAAAACGGTTTTTAGACATTTTTGCACATTTATTAAAAATAAAAAACAGAAATACCTTATTTACATACAGTGGGGAAAAAAAGTATTTAGTCAGCCACCAATTGTGCAAGTTCTCCCACTTAAAAAGATGAGAGAGGCCTGTAATTTTCATCATAGGTACACGTCAACTATGACAGACAAAATGAGGAAAAAAAAATCCAGAAATTCACATTGTAGGATTTTTAATGAATTTATTTGCAAATTATGGTGGAAAATAAGTATTTGGCAATAACAAAAGTTTCTCAATACTTTGTTATATACCCTTTGTTGGCAATGACACAGGTCAAACGTTTTCTGTAAGTCTTCACAAGGTTTTCACACACTGTTGCTGGTATTTTGGCCCATTCCTCCATGCAGATCTCCTCTAGAGCAGTGATGTTTTGGGGCTGTCGCTGGGCAACACAGACTTTCAACTCCCTCCAAAGATTTTCTATGGGGTTGAGATCTGGAGACTGGCTAGGCCACTCCAGGACCTTGAAATGCTTCTTACGAAGCCACTCCTTCGTTGCCCGGGTGGTGTGTTTGGGATCATTGTCATGCTGAAAGACCCAGTCACGTTTCATCTTCAATGCCCTTGCTGATGGAAGGAGGTTTTCACTCAAAATCTCACGATACATGGCCCCATTCATTCTTTCCTTTACACGAATCAGTCGTCCTGGTCCCTTTGCAGAAAAACAGCCCCAAAGCATGATGTTTCCACCCACATGCTTCACAGTAGGCATGGTGTTCTTTGGATGCAACTCAGCATTCTTTGTCCTCCAAACACGACGAGTTGAGTTTTTACCAAAAAGTTCTATTTTGGTTTCATCTGACCATATGACATTCTCCCAATCCTCTTCTGGATCATCCAAATGCACTCTAGCAAACTTCAGACGGGCCTGGACATGTACTGGCTTAAGCAGGGGGACACGTCTTGCACTGCAGGATTTGAGTCCCTGGCGGCGTAGTGTGTTACTGATGGTAGGCTTTGTTACTTTGGTCCCAGCTCTCTGCAGGTCATTCACTAGGTCCCCCCGTGTGGTTCTGGGATTTTTGCTCACCGTTCTTGTGATCATTTTGACCCCACGGGGTGAGATCTTGCGTGGAGCCCCAGATCGAGGGAGATTATCAGTGGTCTTGTATGTCTTCCATTTCCTAATAATTGCTCCCACAGTTGATTTATTCAAACCAAGCTGCTTACCTATTGCAGATTCAGTCTTCCCAGCCTGGTGCAGGTCTACAATTTTGTTTCTGGTGTCCTTTGACAGCTCTTTGGTCTTGGCCATAGTGGAGTTTGGAGTGTGACTGTTTGAGGTTGTGGACAGGTGTCTTTTATACTGATAACAAGTTCAAACATGTGCCATTAATACAGGTAACAAGTGGAGGACAGAGGAGCCTCTTAAAAAAGAAGTTACAGGTCTGTGAGAGCCAGAAATCTTGCTTGTTTGTAGGTGACCAAATACATATTTTCCACCATAATTTGCAAATAAATTCATTAAAAATCCTACAATGGGAATTTCTGGGAAAAAAATTCTCAATTCGTCTGTCATAGTTGACGTGTACCTATGATGAAAATTACAGGCCTCTCTCATCTTTTTAAGTGGGAGAACTTGCACAATTGGTGGCTGACTAAATACTTTTTTCCCCCACTGTAAGTATTCAGACCAATGCTATGAGACTTGAAATTGAGCTCGGGTGAATCCTGTTTCCATTGATCATCCTTGAGATGTTTCTACAACTTGATTGGAGTCCACCTGTGGTAAATTCAATTGATTGGACATGATTTGGAAAGGCACACACCTGTCTATATAAGGTCCCATAGTTGACAGTGCATGTCAGAGCAAATACCAAGCCATGAGGTTGAAGGAATTGTCCGTAGAGCTTCGAGACAGGATTGTGTCGAGGCACAGATCTGGGGAAGGGTACCAAAAAATGTCTACAGCATTGAAGGTTCCCAAGAACACAGTGGCCTCCATCATTCTTAAATGGAAGAAATTTGGAACCACCATGACTCTTCCTAGAACTGGCCGCTCGGCCAAACTGAGCAATTGGGGGAGAAGGGCCTTGGTCAGGGAGGTGACCAAGAACCCAATGGTCACTTTGACAGAGCTCCAGAGTTCCTCTGTGGAGATGGGAGAACCTTCCATCTCTGCAGCACTCCACCAATCAGGCCTTTATGGTAGAGTGGCCAGACGGAAAAGGCACATGACAGCACGCTTGGAGTTTGCCAAAAGGCACTTTAAGGACTCTCAGACCATGAGAAATACCATCCCTACGGTGAAGCATGGTGGTGGCAGCATCATGTTGTGGGGATGTTTTTCAGCGGCAGGGACTGGGAGACTAGTCAGGATTGAGGGAAAGATGAACGGAGCAAAGTACAGATCCTTAATGAAAACCTGCTCCAGAGTGCTCAGGACCTTAGACTGGGGCGAAGTTTCGCCTTCCAACAGGACAACGACCCTAAGCACACAGCCAAGACAACGTAGGAGTGGCTTCGGGACAAGTCTCTGAATGTCCTTGAGGGTCCCAGCCAGAGCCCAGCCAGAGCCCGGACTTGAACCCGATCAAACATCTCTGGAGAGACCTGAAAATAGCTGTGCAGCGACGCTCCCCATCCAACCTGACAGAGCTTGAGAGGAACTGCAGAGAAGAATGGGAGAAACTCCCCAAACACAGGTGTGCCAGGCTTGTAGCGTCATACCCCAAGAAGACTCAAGTCTGTAATCGCTGCCAAAGGTGCTTCAACAAAGTACTGAGTAAACGGTATGAATACTTATGTAAATAGGATATTTCCGTTTTTTATTTTTAATACACTTGCTAACATTTCTAAAAAAAACATACGTAACAAATCATACTAAATGTAGTGTCTCGGATTTACGTACAGAATAATACGAAATTCTCTGAGACCAGTTTGTAACTGTGGCTTTGTTGATGCCTTGTTCATCTCTACACCCAGAGCCAACTCTCGCTTGCATGCTGGCAACTATTCCTTGTTGAATAAAACAGTATCAAGAAGAAATATATGGGTGCCACAGGAGTAGCAAATGGAATGGAAACCATGTGTTTGATGTATTTGTTACCATCCCGGCTATTGCGCTCCAGTCATTACCACGAGCCTGTTCTCCCCCATTACTGAGCCACCAACCTCCTGTGATGGGTGCCATTGGGCACCAGGCACGGGTAACTAGGCCTACATCATCACAACTGAACTCATGGCACAAGGGCACATGGCTCAGTATGGTGGCGCTGTCCAGGGCTAATACCAACATGTGACATGGATCAGTATCAGTGGAGGCTGGTGGGAGGAGCTATAGGAGGACGTGCTCATTGTAATGGCTGGAATGGAATTATTGGAACAGTATCATACACATCAAAGATATGAAAACCACATGTTTGACTCCATTACATATATCCCATTCCAGCCATTACAATGAGCCCATCCTCCTATAGTTTCTCCCAACAGCCTCCACTGAGCAGTATCAGTACCACCCACTGGCATGAATACACTCCTGTCCCATGCCTTGCCTACCTCCTCTGGAGGCTGACAATGACACGTTAGACATAATGGACAGTCTGAAACTACCAAGACATGGCATGGTTTTGGCACTGTGGTTGGATTTCTGACAGTGTCTCTGAAGTAAATTAGGTTGTTTTTGTTTACATAGTAATAGCAGTAGCATTGTATATTAAAATACTGCACTATTACAATACTGCTAATCCTAAATATGTCATAAAAAATAATATTATTAAGTAGGTCGATTTATTTCATGTTACAGTGGTAGTTTCCCCTGATGAGAGTGTGTAAGAAACACGCCTGTTGGTCAGTACCAAACTGTGGGCCACAGCCTATTCTTGCTTATAGGCCTACCATTTGGCTGCCTGTAGTTGGTGTTCACAGCCAGGATTAACCGACATGTGTTGTGCATTCAACGAACATAGGTTTACAATGCAATTCAGCCTACTCAGGTTGCCATCATAAACATAATTAGACATCATATTTCGATTTAGGTATCCGGGTATAATCTATTCATGCACATCAAATGTGTCCTTCCTAATAGGCTACACAGAAATGACATACCTACGGCAATACATTTTTTCTTGATCCCCGTTTTCTCCTCCAGTTTCCCAAGGAAATCTGTCATAATGTTTTTCTCATTTAGAAATGTATCTGCGCGATCTCGAAGTTTATCAAATAGTTCTGAGATTCCCATGGTGATGGGTTACACGTTTCGGAGTTTCTTAAGGGTAAATTATAATAATAAACATGTAAATGATAGAATAAAAAAAAATCCCTGTGGAGATCTGAGTCCCGTGCAGTTCAAATCCGCTGACGAGACATGTTTCGGCTCCTCAATCCGCTTTGCTGGAGAGTCCTTGGGTGAGTCATTTTGCGGTGGAGAGGGAACGGTCAAGGATCACGTCTGGCTAGAAGGAACCCAAAAGGAATAGGATACCAGGTTATAATTCTGTGAAGTTGTACAGTGCCCAATTCCAACAGGTGTATCCGCTACACTGTATTCATTTCAGCAGGTAAACAGCCTGTAATTATATGGGTGTGTGCCTATAATTTGTCTCTATTTTACATTTTAGTCATTTAGCAGACGCTCTTATCCAAAGCGACTTACAGTTAGTGAGTGCATACATTTTCATACTTTTTTCATACTGGCCCCCCGTGGGAAACGAACCCACAACCCTGGCGTTGCAAGCGCCATGCTCTACCAACTGAGCTACATGGGCCCGTGTTATTCTAATGGGAATAATATTTGTTGGTGTGTGGAATGTATTATGTTACCCAGCAGGTGTCAGTGTATGCATTCATAGTGAGCCCTCCGCTGGCTGGCCCTCCAAGACTAGAATGAAGTTGCCCCTAGACAATGACCTAAGGTCAGTTTTGCGTTTTCACACTAATGGTGAAGTTTAGTCCTTTGGGAAGGTAAGCTGATCCTGCATATGTGCCATGGGGCATCTTTAAAGCTAGAATCCTTAGTTCAGGGGTGTCAAACTCAGTCCACGGAGGGCCGAGTGTCTGCGGGATTTAGTTTTTTCCTTTCAATTAAGACCTAGATAACCAAGTGAAGGGAGTTCAAGGGTGGAGAGAAAACCCTCCATGGAATGAGTTTGACGCCTGTGCCTTAGTTGATACATCCATTTTTTACTTATAAATTAATGCATTGGTTCTTGAAGACTATTATAAATGCCCAATGAGCTTAGTTCAACTGTCATACTCCATCAGAACCCAAAATATAAGCTTATTATACTCCAATGTTGGTAAACTAAGTAAATGTAAACAAACACCTTATAGCCTCATAACATGGTTAAAACTATACTTTTGATATCATGGATGGTCAGTGCTTGCATACATACAGTACAAGTCAAAAGTTTGGCACACCTACTTATTCAAGGGTTTTTCTTTATTTGTACTATTTTCTACATTGTAGAATAATAGTGAAGTCATCAAAACTATGAAATAACACATATGGAATCATGTAGTAACCAAAAAAGTGTTAAACAAATCAAAATATATTTTATATTTGAGATTCTTTGCCTTGATGAAAGCTTTGCACACTCTTGGCATTCTCTCAACCAGTTTCCACATATACTGAGCACTTGTTGGCTGCTTTTCCTTCACTCTGCCGTCCGACTCATCCCAAACCATCTCAATTGGGTTGAGGTCGGGGGATTGTGGAGGCCAGGTTATCTGATGCAGCACTCCATCACTCTCCTTCTTGGTAAAATAGCCCTTACACAGCCTGGAGGTGTGTTGGGTCATTGTCCTGTTGACAAACAAATGACAGTCCAAACCAGATGGGATGGCTTATCGCTGCAGAATGCTGTGGTAGCCATGCTGGTTAAGTATGCCTTGAATTCTAAATAAATCACAGACAGTGTCACCAGCAAAGCACCCCCACACTATAACACCTTCCCCTCCATGCTTTACGGAGATCATTCGTTCACCCACACCACATCTCACAAAGAAACAACGTTTGGAACCAAAGATCTCCAATTTGGACTCCAGACCAAAGGACAACTTTCCACCGGTCTAATGTCCATTGCTCATGTTTCTTGGCCCAAGCATGTCTCTTCTTCTTATTGGTGTCTTTCAGGAGTGGTTTCTTTGCAGCAATTTGACCATGAAGGCCTGATTCACACAGTACCCTCTGAACAGTTGATGTTGAGATGTGTCTGTTACTTGAACTCTGTGAAGCATTTATTTGGGCTGCAATTTCTGAGGCTGGTAACTCTAATGAACTTATCCTCTGCAGCAGAGGTAACTCTGGGTCTTCCATTCCTGTGGTGGTCCTCGTGAGAGCCAGTTTCATCATAGCGCTTGATGGTTTTTGCGACTGCACTTGATGAAACTTTCGAAGTTCTTGAAATGTTCAGTATTGACTGAGTTTGTCTTAAAGTAATGATGGACTGTCGTTTCTCTTTGCTTATTTGAGCTGTTCTTGCCATAATATGGACTTGGTCTTTTACCAAATAGTGCCATCTTCTGTATACCCTCCTACCTTGTCACAACACAACTGATTGGCTCAAACGCATTAAGGAAAGAAATTCCACAAATTAACTTTTAAGAAGGCACACCTGTTAATTGAAATGCATTCTAGGTGACTACCTCATGAAGCTGGTTGAGAGAATGCCAAGAGTGTACAAAGCTGTCATCAAGGCAAATAGTTGCTATTTGGTAGTGTAGCTCTCTCTATGAATTTGAGAGTGGTTACAGCTTTTTACCAAAACACAGGCGTGTTGACCGCTTTGTTATTGTTTCAATTAAAGGATTCCAGCTTTAAGTGAACTTGACCATTAGGAACATATTTGGGGTCAACGCCAGGTAGCCAAAGTTCTCTCTCAGGTGTAAAAGAATGCATGTTGTAGTGTTGCAATGAGTCCCTATGCAAGCTGAGACACATCTAGAGAGTGTAAGCAGAGGAGGGGAAAGGGGAAGACAACTCTTCGCTGTAGTCTGGATATTTCAAACCACCACACCCGACTTCTCAAGAACTTACATAATACACAAGGAGAATGGTGAAAGGAATAAAAAAATATATAACCATTAAATACACTTTATTTGTCTGCTGTTACATTTTCTGGGTAAGTTGACAAAACCGATATCGTTAGCAGAGACATGCCTTGTGTAGCCCATATATATTTTACTTTTAATGTTGACCAATGATGCTCTGCTAATCTATTTTCTCATCAGAATGATAAGACTGCTGATAGAAGTGTATGTCATTAACAGATACTATATCACAAAAAGCCTGCTGTGTTTACTTTAAAGTTCAGTGATTGATTATTCCTTGAAGTTAATGACAGCCTGCCTACACAGAATATTCAAAATGATAGGCTACTATAAAAGACAAAATACAAGTTTGTAAACCCAACTGGATGCTATATGACAATTATTTCAACATTCCTTTCTCCAGGTAGCAAGTGCTGTTCTTATAGCAGTAGGAATCTACGCCAAGTTTGCCAAAGAGAAAGGTCAGTCTAAATGTCATAAACACACATATACAATGGCAAGTACTTGTCTAGTCTCAACAACTGACACATATAGCCTGTTTAGTGTGATACATGCCGCTGATGAGACTGTGTGTGCGTGTGTGTGTGGGGGGGGGTGTTTCCACAGATGTTGTGGACACTTTGATGACTGACCCAGCACTCTTGCTGATCGTCATTGGCGCCCTAATGTTTATGATCACCTTCTTTGGGTGCTTCGGGGCATTGCGCAATGGAACCTGCTTACTGAAGACAGTGAGTCGCTCCTTGCTTGAGACAACAGTTTACAATATCACTGTGATGAGCTAGCCATACATAACATATTGATTACAGTACATTGGAAAGCCATAGATAGATGGTGGTGAATAGTAGACATGTCATTATCTAAACATTGTTTATCATTATAATGATTACAGAGAGTAATTCATGCAACTGTCCTGGCCTACTACAAGGTTGAAATGTCCCTTCTGTTTCCAGTTTTCAGGGATATTGGTGGTAATCCTTCTCCTACAGATTACAGCTGCAGTGCTTGGATTCCTGTTCACTGACAAGGTAATGTGAGAACCCTGAAAGTCAGTTTTATGCTGAGAATTGTATCCTCTGCATAGCCAAGCGGGATGCAATTCTCAGCATGCCAACATTTAGAATATAAGTTTACACCCTAATCAAATGAAGGTACCTGTTGTTGAATTAGATATAATTGACTCATGAAGATGCTTTCTGATGTTCTTTCAGGTTTTGGAGAGGACGGAGAAGCTAATGAGAAAGGCTATTGTTAGCTATCGGGAGGATTTGGACTTGGAAAATGCTATTGACTTCGTTCAAAAAAAGGTGAATTACATTGATAATCTTAGTCAACGTGGTTCCGATGGCTCAATTGGACGGAGCATGGTGCCGGCCCTAGAAATATAATTACTAAAATTGAGGGTTTTATTTCTTTATAGATTAGATTGTATTGGTGTCTTCGGATAAAATAATCTGCTAAATGAAAATATTATTACTGGATTATAACATCATTATCATTATCTATTTAAGTACAGCACCGTTCACTATGCTGTACAGGGGTTTATTGATACTAATGCACTTGTCGGTTCTGATTGCAGTTCCAGTGCTGCGGTGTTCACAGCTATAAGGACTGGTCCGATAACGTCTACTTCCAGTGCTCTGCGGAGAACCCCAGTCTGGAAGCCTGCGGAGTGCCTTTTTCCTGCTGCCTACGACTGCGCAATGAGGTCAGACACTAACAAATAACGTCAAAACAACACATTCATAATGTACTTTTTAGCGTTTCCTTCACTCTGCTTTATAAAGCACTACAGTATATAATTGACCTCTGGGAACAACCTTTGCTATGATTATGAAACGAGAAGAAATAGTCCACAACACTATGCACTGCATACTGACAGAACAATGGACAGCGGACTGCTGACTCGACTGAAATACTTCCTGTGTCAGCAGAATCCATGCAAGAGCAATGAAACACAACCTACTATCCTAGAATAGAATGACGCAACTGCAGTGAAGCAACTCGATCTAAACCTTGGGAAAAAATGTTTAAATCAAGTTTATTCACTATAATCAACCAGTTTGCGTTGTGTCTGAAGAATCAGGTGTGTTCGAACAGTGCCGGAACAAAAGCCTGCACACCCAATAGCTCCCCAGGAGGAGCGTTGGCCATTCCTGGACTTCAGTGTCTGTCCCAACATTCATGCTTACTAATGTTATATCCACTGTATTCCCCCAGACGGTGTTCAACACCATGTGTGGCTATGAGGTCCAGAGTATGGAGGAGAGTTCAGCAGGGAGGACTGTGTACACTAACGGCTGCCTGGATAAGGTTGTGTGGTGGGGGAAACAGAACCTCTTCCTAGTGGGGGGGATTACTGTGGGTCTGCTCTGCCTAGAGGTAAGACATGGCTCAGTAGTAGGATATTCCAAACATAGTTGATTCTTGAGAAGTGCAGATCAGACAAGTACAAACCCCTTTCCAATGTAGTGCAGTTCAGCAGTCACAATTTAAATACATGTGTTACTTGCTCTGGAAATCTATCTGGCAACAAACATCAATTTAAATCATTAGGAATAAAATGTATGCAGAATCAGTAAGAAGATGGTATTTAAGCAATAAGGCCCGAGGAGGTGCCTGGACACAGCCCTTAGCCGTGGTATATTGGCCATATATCACAAACACCTGAGGTTCCTTAGTGCTATTATAAACTAGTTACCAACGTAATTAGAGCAGTAAAAATAAATGTTTTGTCATACCCGTGGTATAGTTGTCTGATATAACACCCAGTTTAAGAACAAATATACAATGTACACTACCAGTCAAATGTTTGGACACACCTACTCATTCAAGGGTTTTTCTTTATTTTTACTATTTTTTACATTGTAGAATAATAGTGAAGACATCAAAACTATGAAATAACAAATTTGGAATCATTTAGTAACCCAAAAAGTGTTAAACAATAAATATATTTTATATTTGAGATTCTTCAAATAGCCACCCTTTGCCTTGATGACAGCTTTGCACACTCTTGGCATTCTCTCAACCAGCTTCATGAGGTAGTCACCTGGAATGCATTTCAATTAACAGGTGTGCCTTCTTAAAAGTTAATTTGTGGAATTTCTTTCCTTCTTAATGTATTTGAGCCAATCAGTTGTGTTGTGACAAGGTAGGGGTGGTATACAGAAGATAGCCCTATTTGGTAAAATACCCAAGTCCATATTATGGCAAGAACAGCTCAAATAAGCAAAGAGAAACAACAGTCCATCATTACTTCAAGACATGGATGTTGGTCAATACTGAACATTTCAAGAACTTTGAACATACTGTATCTTCAAGTGCAGTTGCAAAAACCATCAAGCGCTATGATGAAACTGGCTCTCATGAGGACCGCCACAGGAATGGAAGACCCAGAGTTACCTCTGCTGCAGAGGATAAGTACATTAGAGCTACCAGCCTCAAAAATTGCAGCCCAAATAAATGCTTCACAGAGTTCAAGTAACAGACACATCAGCATCAACTGTTCAGAGGGGACTGGAGTCCAACTTGGAGATTTTTGGTTCAAACCGCTGTCTTTGTGAGATGCGGTGTGGGTGAACGGATGATCTCTGCATATCTAGTTCCCACCGTAAAGCATGGAGGAGGTGTTATGGTGTGGGGGCGCTTTGCTGGTAACACTGTCTGTGATTTATTTAGAATTCAAGACACACTTAACCAGCATGGCTACCACAGCATTCTACAGCGATACACCATCCCATCTGGTTTGGGCTTAGAGGGACTATCATTTGTTTTTCAACAGGACAATGACCCAACACACCTCCAGGCTGTGTAAGGGCTATTTGACCAAGAAGGAGAGTGATGAAGTGCTGCATCAGATGACTTGGCCTCCACAATCCCCCGACCTCAACCAAATTGAGATGGGTTGGGATGAGTCGGACCGCAGAGTGAAGGAAAAGCAGCCAACAAGTGCTCAGCATGTGGGAACACCTTCAAGATTGTTGGAAAAGCATTCCAGGTGAAGCTGGTTGAGAGAATGCCAAGAGTGTGCAAAGCTGTCATCAAGGCAAAGGGTGGCTATTTGAAGAATCTAAAATATATTTGTTTTGTTTAACACTTTTTGGGTTACTACATGATTCCATATGTGTTATTTCATAGTTTTGATGTCATCACTATTATTCTACAATGTAAAAAATAGTAAAAAATAAAGAAAAACCCTTGAATGAGTAGGTGTATCTAAACTTTTGACTGGTACTGTATATAATTGTATAATGTACATTGTATAATGTTTACAATGTATATTTGTAGTGAATTATCAGCTGCAAAGGGGCCACTAATCCACAATTAGATTACTAGTCCAGTCATTTTTTAAATCCCATTTAAAGATGTACTGTATCAGTTCAAACACATACAGCTACACAAGTCACAGAGATAGAAACAACAATACAGTGATGTCTAAATCAACAGAAACACAGTGCTTTGAAAAGGACTTGAGAAAAATATGAGTGATTGTAGGCATGTTTGTAGAGGCCATACTTACTTCATCATGTACCAAGTTTTTGTTTTTGTTTCTTGCAGCTGTGTATGATTACTTTGGCATCTTGCCAGGTGTCTCGCATAAAGACGGTTCAACAGAGGACAAAACAAGATGTTGGAAAACACCCTTCCTTGACTAGAGAAAGACTAGACAGCAATGTTTGGTACCCTGCTTCCTGGGACTTCAATAAGGAATGAGAGGGTCCTCCTCTTGGTCCATTTGAGTTGTACATGAGCAACAACTTTGAACAGAAGTAGTCTGTACACACTGTGAATCTATGTACTTTCATGTCAAAAGGTTGTTCAAGAAAGCACTGTGTGGTCCACTGTGCACATAGACGTTGCCTTGATTTTTGTATGTGTTATTAAAACTGTGATTCTGATCAACGCTGGGTTTTTCATTGCAAGCTGGAAAGCAAAGTCATTAACTATTAAATATATAATTTCCAACCACAGGAAATGTCTCAGATTATTTAATCAATATAAGAACCTTTATTTCTATACGGATGTGCTATCTTAATTTGAACAGTTTCTCACAGCAGGAAAATCATCCTGTAGCAACAGGAAATGTGAATTATTATGTGGATTATAATTAATGGACATTTTAGGAGTTGATAGGGGTTGATACATATTTAGTTAGGATAAATCAAGTCTGACATTTTAAAGTGAAAATGACAAACTTTAGAAGCCTTTTTAAACCTTGAATACACTACAATCTGCATTTCCTGCCGTGCAGGAAAAATCTCTGCAATAACCGAATGATCAAATTAAAGTGACATCTGTATTTGTGCTTTGTAGGTTACAGCAGCTAGCCCTTAAATGTTCTGTATATTGATGCTTTTACACATAACCACAGCATTTTCTATATCTGTATATTTGTCATTTCTAAATGCCTCGTGATTTAAACTTTCTGAACGTGCTAATACAAATCCCTACATCTCACATAATTGTTTTATAGTTAGTAATGTCTATAGATGATTTATAGCAAGCGAATTGAGTTGACACATACATAGCCCCTATTTTCATATCATTCAATGTGGGAAACTGAACCCAACTTACTGTATACATTAACAGCACACCATAGAGCTTTATATAATGCCAGCTCTTTACAACTGGCACGGTATGTCTGTTATGGTCTGTCAGTTACCTTACAACAGTTGACATGAATGAGAGGGTTTGGTCTTGAGCATCAGGCCCATGAAGTTAAACTGAGCAGGATTGTACTCTGAGATCTCTGTGATGACGGTGTGAGGGCTGTCTGCACTCTTCTCCCGCGACGTGACCCTGTACTGTGCCTTGACATTCCAGAGTGGGATGTATTCCGGACTAACGTTATCCGGACAGCAAAATCCTTCCTTGATGACGTAGCCCAGCTGAGATGGCCACGAAGCCATTCTTGTAGGTCAACATTTTGGTGACAGGAGCACAGACGTACTGGACGAATAACAGACTCCCTGGGACATAAAAGGGATACAGAATATGTGTGATATTCAACTTGTATCGGAAAGGTTAACATATTTATTGGCATTTGCCAATTTGTGTATAATGTAGGTTTGATCTATGGTTTGAAAATAGTAGCGAACAACATTGTTTCGTAATAGTAGTAAACAAAATCTACAATTGTCCTAAAACTTAAATAAGGCAATGTAGATGAGAGCACGTACCACTGGCAACATCCCAGACTTTAATGGTTCTATCCTAGGACCCAGTGAAGACGTACTTATCACTCTCAGAGAAAGTGCACAGAGAACACCTTCAAAAGATGGAGCCCTGTATTTCAAAAAGTACAATCGGATGTGTGTCTGAATGACACCCCAGTAGTGCAAGTAGTTCACTATATCGGGTGTCATTTCAGATTCTCACTGACTAGAGAAAGAACCACAGTACGGTGATAAACACATAGACCGGTGAGCTTTAACCTCTGACCTTGTACTCCATTGTGTGATCCAGCACCAGGGGGGTCAGCCCCCACAGCCTCTGCACGGAATCCTCCGAGCCCACCAGGGCATGCGTCCCCCAGTTGCTGTCCGTCACACAGGTGACCCTGCTGCGGTGGCCCTCCAGGGTGGTGGCTGAGGTGGATTTGAAGTCGTAGAGAATTACCTTGTTTTAAAAAGGAGATGGGACACCATTACTTTAGCTTCTGTAACATCTTTACCAAGTTAAAACCAGATATGTTGTAGGCCTACAGAGCACTATGGGTAATGTAGTCCATCATGCTACAGACCTCCCCGCAGGCCGTCCTATACAGCAGCCTACAGTCTCGGAGCAAGGCCATGGAGGAGACGGGCGAGTGTAGCAGGGAGAGGGGGAACCTTTCGAAGGGCCCCTCAACGCAGGGGAAACTGTCCTGGGCTGTGATCTCGAACAGACACACCGAGTCCTCATATGCCACCGCAATGCACTTTTCCTGGCCGCCGATGGGTAGGGTCTCAGGAGGAGGGATGCAGACGGTCTCCTGGGGGAAAGCCAGGGGGTAGATGAGGACCGTGCCCGTCTTGAGGCCGCAGAAGAGGAGTCTTTTGTGCTGGGCCAGCTCCAGGCAGCACACCTCGGCTGAGATGGCCATGGTGTCAGTGGAAGAGCCTGAAACAAACAGGATGTAGATTCTCTTTAAAAGGATCCATTGTCAAATACAAGGCATTATTCTGTATGTGAACACCGATTAAAGGCCTGTTAGCTCATTTAGGTTCAATATACACCTACAGTGCCTTCGGAAGGTATTCAGACCTCTTGACTTCTTCCACATTTTGTTACGTTACAGCCTTATTCTAAAATGGATTAAATAAATAAACATCCTCATCAATCTACACACAATACCCAATAATGACAAAGTGAAAACAGGTTTTTAGATATTTTAAAAAACAGAAGTACCTTATTTACATAAATATTCAGACCCTTTGCTATGAGACTCAAAATTGAGCTCAGGTGCATCCTGTTTCCATTGATCATCCTTGAGATGTTTCTACAACTTGATTGGAGTCCACCTGTGGTACATTCAATTGATTGGACATGATTTGGAAAGGCACACACCTGTCTATATAAGGTCCCACAGTTGACAGTTCATGTCAGAGCAAAAACAAAGCTATGAGGTTGAAGGAATTGTCCGTAGAGCTCCGAGACAGGATTGTGTCAAGGCACAGATCTGGGGAAGGGTACCAAAAAATGTCTGCAGCATTGAAGGTTCCCAAGAACACAGTGGCCTCCATCATTCATAAATTGAAGAAGTTTGGAACCACCAAGACTCTTTCAAGAGCTGGCCGCCCGGCCAAACTGAGCAATTGGGGGAGAAGGGCCTTGGTCAGGGAGGTGACCAATTACCCGATGGTCACTCTGACAGAGCTCTAGAGTTCCTCTGTGGAGATGGGAGAACCTTACAGAAGAACAACCATCTCTGCAGCACTCCACCAATCTGGCCTTTATAGTCGAGTTGCCAGATGAAAGCCAATCCTCAGTAAAAGGCACATGACGGCCCGCTTGGAGTTTGCCAAAAGGCACCTAAAGACTCAGACCATGAGAAACAAGATTATCTGGTCTGAAGAAACCAAGATTAAACTCTTTGGCCTGAATGCCAAGCGTCACGTCTGGAGGAAACCTGGCACCATCCCTACGGTGAAGCATGGTGGTGGCAGCATCATGCCGTGGGGGTGTTTTTCAGCGGCAGGGACTGGGAGACTGATGTATATTCTTTAATAAATTAGAAGATAGAACTGGGTTAATCACGAACATTGAGTTAGAATTGTTTGTTACTGGGCTAGGAATTTTATTGGGGCATTTCACTGTGTGTGTGGGGGAGTAGAGAGGAAAACTGCCCTAGGGTCAAAGTGCTTGCTCTTACTTAAATCCATGGCTGCCTTTTGTCTCTCTCTTCAAACATTGTGAAGAGAGCGGCACCAGGGTTGAATGGAGTTTGGGCTAGACCTTGGTCTCCTTGGTATCTTCTTGATTGGGGTGGGGTGTGTGTCAAGAATTTAGGGCCTTGTCATATTGAGACTAAACATGAGTGTGTGTGCAAGACAGGGGAGTTAGTGATTGGTTGGAGTAATAGTTCAGCCGTCCTCAGGGACAAAGGAAGTGGGTGTGGAGTGATAAAGAGCGGGAAACTAAGGAGGGAGGGATTTGAACCTAGGGTGGAAGAAAGGAAACGAGGGAGAGAGAGAGACGGGGCAAATCTGCAGGTTGGCCTGACTATGTTGACATTATTGATCCCACTAACACTCTGTAAGACCTTATTTGTAATAAAGTATAGTGGTTATTTTGCACAACAAGACTAGTCAGGATCGAGGCAAAGATTAATGGAGCAAAGTACAGAGGGATCCTTGATGAAAACCTGCTCCAGAGCACTCAGGACCTCAGACTGGGGCGAAGGTTCACCTTCCAACAGGACAACGACCCTAAGCAAACAGCCAAGACAACACAGGAGTAGCATTGGGACAAGTTTGAATATCCTTGAGTGGCCCAGCCAGAGGCCGGACTTGAACCTGATCGAACATCTCTAGAGAGACCTGAAAATAGCTGTGCAGCAACACTCCCCTTCCAACCTGACAGAGCTTGAAAGGATCTGAAGAGAAAAATGGGAGAAACTCCCCAAATACAGGTGTGCCAAGCTTGTAGCGTCATACCCAAGAAGACTCAAGGCTGCCCAAGGTGCTTCAACAAAGTACTGAGTAAAGGGTCTGAATACTTATGTAAATGTGATATTTCCATTTTTTATTGTGTGTACATTGATGAGGATGTTTATTTATTTAATCAATTTTAGAATAAGGCTGTAACCTAACAAAATGTGGAAAAAGTCAAGGGGTCTAAATACTATCCGGAGGCACTGTATACACTGAGTGTACAAAACATTAAGAACACCTGCTATTTCCATGACATAGATTGACCAGGTGAATCCGGGTGAACGCTATGATCCCTTATTGATGTCACCTGTTAAATCCACTTAAATCCGTGTAGATGAAGGGGAGGAGACAGGTTAAAGAAGGATTTTTATGCCTCGAGACAATTGAGCTATGGATTGTGTATGTGTGCCATTCAGAGGGTGAATGGGCAAGACAAAATATTTAAGTGCCTATGAACGGGCTATTGTAGTAGATGCCAGGAACACAAGTTTGTATTAAGAACTGCATCGCTGCTGGGTTTTTCACGCTCAACATTTTCCCGTGTGTATCAAGAATGGTCCACCACCCAAAGGTCATCCAGCCAACTGGACACAACTGTGGGAAGCAATGGAGTCAACATGGGCGAGCATCCCTGTGGAAGACTTTCGACACCTTGTAGAGTCCATGTCCCGATAAATTGAGGCTGTTCGGGGGGGGGGGGGGGGGGGGGGGGGGGCAACTCAATAGTAGGAAGGTGTTCTTAATGTTTTGTACACTCAGTGTATTAATACAGTTGAAGTCGGAAGTTTACATACACCTTAGCCAAATACATTTAAACTCAGTTTTTCACAATTCCAGGCATTTAATCCTAGTAAAAATGCCCTGTCTTCGGTCACCACTTTATTTTAAGAATGTGAAATGTCAGAATAATAGTATAGAGAATGATTTATTTCAGCTTTTATTTATTTCATCACATTCCCAATGGGTCAGAAGTTTACATACACTAAATTAGTATTTGGTAGCATTGCCTTTAAATTGTTTAACTTGGGTCAAACGTTTCAGGTAGCCTTCCACAAGCTTCCCACAATAAGTTGGGTGAGATTTGGCCCATTCCTCCTGACAGAGCTGGTGTAACTGAGTCAGGTTTGTAGGCCTCCTTGCTCGCACACACTTTTTCAGTTCTGCCCACAAATGTTCTATAGGATTGAGGTCAGGGCTTTGTGATGGCCACTCCAATACCTTGACTTTGTTGTCCTTAAGTCATTTTGCCACAACTTTGGAAGTATGCTTGGGGTCATTGTCCATTTGGAAGACCCATTTGCGACCAAGCTTGAACTTTCTGACTGATGTCTTGAGATGTTGCTTCAATATATCCACATAATTTTCCTTCCTC